ATGAAGAGTGATCATATGAATTGCAATTAATTGTAAAGTCCCTCTTTGCCATGAAAATGAACTTAATCCCCAAAAAACATGTCCACTGCATTTCAGCCTTGCCACAAAAGGACCAGCTGCCATCATGTCAGTGATTATCTCATTAACACAGGTGAGAGTGTTGACGAGGACAAGGCTGGAGATCACTCTGTCATGCTGATTGAGTTAGAATAACATACTGGAAGCTTTAAAAGGAGGGTGGTGCTTGAAATCATTGTTATTCCTCTGTTAACCATGGTTACCTGCAAGGAAACACATGCCATCATCATTGCTTTGCACAAAAAGGGCTTCACAGGCAAGGATATTGCTGCTAGTAAGATTGCACCTAAATCAACCATTTATCAGATCATCAAGAACATCAAGGAGAGAGGTTCAATTGTTGTGAAGAAGGCGTCAGGGCGCCCAAGAAAGTCCAGCAAGCACCAGGACCATCTCCTAAAGTTGATTCAGCTGCGGGATCAGGGCACCACCAGTGCAGAGCTTGCTCAGGAATGGCAGCAGGCAGGTGTTAGTGCATCTGCACGCACAGTGAAGCGAAGACTTTTGGAGGATGGCCTGGTGTCAAGAAGGGCAGCGAAGAAGCCACTTCTCTCCAGGAAAAACATCAGGGACAGACTGATATTCTGCAAAAGGTACAGGGATTGGACTGCTGAGGACTGGGGTAAAGTCATTTTCTCTGATGAATCCCCTTTCCGATTGTTTGGGGCATCCGGAAAACACCTTGTCTGGAGAAGACAAGGTGAGCGCTACCATCAGTCCTGTGTCATGCCAACAGTAAAGCATCCTTTGGGGTTGCTTCTGAGCCAAGGGAGTGGGCTCACTCACAATTTTGTCTAAGAACACAGCCATGAATAAAGAATGGTACCAACACATCCTCCTAGAGCAACTTCTCCCAACCATCCAAGAACAGTTTGGTGATGACCAATGCCTTTTCCAGCATGATGGAGCACCTTGCCATAAGGCAAAAGTGATAACTAAGTGGCTCAGGGAACAAAACATCGAAATTTTAGGTCCATGGCCAGGAAACTCCCCAGACCTTAATCCCATTGAGAACGTGGTCGATCCGCAAGAGGCGGGTGGACATACAAAAACCCACAAATTCTAACAAACTCCAAGCATTGATTATGCAAGAATGGGCTGTCATCAGTCAGGATGTGGCCCAGAAGTTAATTGACAGCATGCCAGGGCGGATTGCAGAGGTCTTGAAAAAGAAGGGTCAACAGTGCAAATATTGACTCTTTGCATAAACTTAATGTAATTGTCAATAAAAGCCTTTGACACTTATGGAATGCTTGTAATTATACTTCAGTATACCATAGTAACATCTGACAAAAATATCTCATAACACTGAAGCAGCGAACTTTGTGAAGACCAATACTTTTTGACCACGACTGTACAGACTCAGTGAGCATTGCTATTGAGAAAGGCCGCCATAGGCAGACCTGGCTCTCAAGAGAAGACAGGCTTTGTGCACACTGCCCACAAAATGAGGTGGAAACTGAGCTGCACTTCCTAACCTCCTGCCAAATGTATGACCATATTAGAGACACATATTTCCCTCAGATTACACAGACCCACAAAGAATTCGTAAACAAATCCAATTTTGATAAACTCCCATGTCTATTGGGTGAAATACGACAGTGTGCAATCACAGCAGCAAGATGTGTGACCTGTTGCCACAAGAAAAGGGTAACCAGTGAAGAACAAACACTATTGTAAATACAACCCATATTTATGTTTATTTATTTTTACTTATTTTACTTTAACTATTTGTACATCGTTACAACACTGTATATAGACATAATATGACAATTGAAATGTCTTTATTATTTTGGAACTTTTGTGAGTGTAATGTTTTCTGTAAAAAATGGTATTGTTTATTTCACTTTTGTTTCTTATCTATTTCACTTGCTTTGGCAATGTAAACATATGTTTCCCATGCCAATAAAGCCCCTTGAATTGATCATCGGAAATGTCCGAGGCCCCAATGGTTTTGAACACAAACGTGTTTAGCTGATACCAGTGGCGGCTCCTGAAAAAATTCTCAGGAGGGGCAATTTTTCTGATGATTTAGGTGACCTACACACATTTTAAAAAAGATATGTCCAGCAACAACATGAAGACAGGGGCAGCATATAAGTCAATACCAGAAGCATTTATTGATTGATCTCAAAAGTGTTGGCTTACCAGGGTTGGTGGAGCCCTCAGTTTCATCTTTGCCTCGCAAAGCTAACTCAAACACTCCGCAAAACTTCACACACTGGATTAGCCGGCTGAGGATGTGGCGGTTCTTGCTAATGTCGTAGTAAATATATTTGTTATAGTGAATATGGAATATGATATGTTGAGTAAAATGTTGTGCTAAGATCTATTTAGGTCAGGAGCTGGTTATAAGTTCTGTTCCTATCCAATAACAATGAACAAAAGGGTCCTATCTTGTCAGCCTTGTCAGCAGGTGGCCAAGGACAACACCCACGCCATAGGCCTCTCAGTTCTTCCAACTCACGAGTTCTTGCTCTGAGGACACACACAAACACACACACACACACACATCATCACTGTTAAAAACACACACACACACACACACACACACACACACACATCATCACTGTTAAACACACACACACACACACACCTGGAGGGGACCTCGCCCAACTCATCAGGACCAATCAGAAGATCAGAACTACTAGATTCAACCTACTTCATTTATTGCATAAAATGTCTGCACACAATGTTTCGGGGCTCTCTTCAGATAATAATAATAATAATAATAATATGCCATTTAGCAGACGCTTTTATCCAAAGCGACTTACAGTCATGCGTGCATACATTTTTGTGTATGGGTGGTCCCGGGGATCGAACCCACTACCTTGGCGTTACAAGCACCATGCTCTACCAGCTGAGCTACAGAAAGTGGATACTCATGGATGTGCATTGCAATTGTAAAATGTCAACACAATTGGAGACACCACGTCATTTTTGGAGACATGTTATTGACAGTAAACTATTGTAGATGCGACTGCTAACTAAATAAAACATTTTAGCTGGCTAGCTAATCATCTTAGCTAAATGTGGGGCAAACAATTCAGTTATTTACCGTTAATTTGAGGGATTGGGGTGAAAGAAATCGAGTTACATAGTGATACTTTACGATATACTGTATTGACAATATCGCAATATTTTAGCGCTAGTTGGCTGTACCTGCACCAAAACACCATTATTGTTCCTTCATAGCTTGTTCTCAATCTTTTCACATTGGGAGCCAATTTGTTTTCAGCACTTTTATTTCCATGACTGATCAAAACTCGTTCTCATGGCTTTCTGATCCCTCTGCAACAGACATATGGTGCGCAATAAAATCACAGTATCGAATCGCAATACGTATAGAATCATGAGACTCGCAATGCTGATGCATATATCTTATTGTGAGGTTCCTGGCAATTCCCAGCCCAAGTTCATTTGCCACAACAAATCTCTTCGCTAGCAAACGCGATGTCTTCTCCAAAACGGCAATGTGTCTCCAGCAATGTTTACTTTTTTGACGTTCTATGGCATCTCCACTTTCCAAGCATATATGACCACATGTAATATTTTGGTAAGTGATGCAAATAGTGAACTATGTAGGGCCAGGATGTAAAATATATGTAGCTGCAGCAATTTCTCTTATCTGATATGGTAAGTAATGGGGCTTAATTTATAGCTCCCTAAGAGTTTGACGAACGGGTCCGTGAACGCGATTCCAGATATCTTTACCTCTGAATAAACTGCCTTTATTATACCATATCCACCCTGTCCAAAGTCTCTACTTGGTCTCAGTTCCAGTAAACTTGTGATTATCAACACTAACCTCATCGTTGTGGCGGCGGACAGCTAGCCTGTATCCCTCGTCATCCAGTTGAGTGAGTGGCAATGTCTTTTTTCGTTCGTACCAATTTTTGGAAAATCCTCGGGTGTAGGACTTTCCGCCTTTAGTAGAAACCTGTTGAATTATTAAATTTGGTCTGGGAGGTCCTAATTGTTTCGTTGCCAATTTATCTTCATTTGTTCGCCGACAAAAAGGAACTTCTTTCAAACAATCCGCTCTTTTCTCAGTTACGTTCATGGTCACGTAACGTATGACGAAAGCGCGTAAGTGCAAGCCCACAGACACCCATTGAGATTGTATTGAAGGCTCTGAAATTTGAAAAAAATAGATTTTACATGGGAGTCTATGACAGACTTCTGGGCGATTTTCAACCTGACTGAAATCGCCCCAAAAGGGGGGGGAGCCATTTGAAGCACGACTTTAGCCTGATTCGACATTTAGTGGCAGTGTGGCACTGTGGCAGATCAGACGTATAGATTACAACACTGATAACTACTGTTGCCGTGATATAATTGATTAGAAAAAAAATCCCTTCCTTTTCCCGTTTGGCAGTGCGTCGCCCATATCGCCCTATTGAACAGGCCGCCCCTGGCTGATATGTAAAATAACTATCCAAGCGTTGTAGCTAAGAAATGGCATGTAACAGCAACGCCTGGGCAGAGGAACGCGCACACAGTTTTGTTTTGACCTTCCAAAGATGGCGTATTTATAAATCTAACTTTCGGCTTTTGCAACTGACGCAATGACGCAGCGCCGTCCCCACAATACCATCAGTTCGAGTATGAAAACAATTAACACCCTGTGAAACGGGAGATATGTAATAGCACTTGTCGCACAGTTTGGACAGAAATACCGCTAAAATAGGAAATGAAACAGTATAACGTCCTGTGAAACGACGTTGCCGTGGACTCATCGGTCCTGACACAAAGGATTTCGAGAGACGGGTTATCCCCTTCCTCAGCCCCCTAGCCAGCCCTGTAGCTCGTTCTTCGTTAGTACACTTTGTTTTGTTTGTTATGCAGTTGCCAGAGGACTGTTTTTGCATTCGTTTTCCTCCATCACCTCATCGCTCCCTCACCCTGAACTCGCTGGCCCTATGTCTCGCTGGCTTTTCCCCTGGTCAGGCTCAATCAAGAAGCGGGCCTGTCGGTACCTCTTACAGCATTACCTCGGTCACTTCTTGCAAGAACGACTGAGTTTGGAACAGCTGAGTTTGGACCTGTACAATGGTAGTGGTGTCATCAAAGAAATCAACATCGATGTTTGGGTGAGTTAGTCAAAGTAGTAAGGCAGTTTAACTGTCAAGGAACAACTGGTCCCCTTTGTGTGTTCCCATGCACCCCGACCCTCAACTATTTATTTCGCAATTTCAGGACTTGAGTCAACAATCATCGTCATATCCTCGCTTCTCGTGAGTTCAAGGAACAACAGTTCCGATAAATATTTTTGTTAGCATCTGATTGGAAAATAACTCGCCTAATCCATTGTCCCTGCAGTTCCGTTGAAATATACTGTATATGACTTAGATCTCGCAAACTCACTCACTTTCAATCTGCACATCAGACAAAACCGTTGCCCGACGCCATTTCCACAAGTTGTTTATTGTAAAACATGGTGTTTCTTTTTCAAACATCATCTTCCACTCATCTCTATTCATTTCTCATCGCCCATTTCCTTCCTTCCTCCCCTCCCCCCAGGCGGTCAACGAGCTATTGGAATCTCTTGGGGCTCCATTTGAGATTGTGGATGGGTTTGTGAGCAACATAGAGGTGACAATTCCATGGTCAGCTCTTGTCACCGACCACTGCACCCTCGTCATCTCAGGCCTTCAGATAACATGCAGACCCAAGTACAGGACCAGTAAGTCTCAGCCTGACAGCCACTCTGCCTGACGAATGAGTTCTTTGTTGTTACCTTGTTATTGATTCAGCTCCTGTTCCTGTCACTGCCTCAGGCCTGTCAGTTTCAGGAAGGAAGTTGTGGTAACCATTGATTAGCTAGCTACCTTTAGAATGTCATTGTCAACAAAGACAAATACAGTTGTCTAGTACTAGCTAACTCTTTGTTGTAAACCAATGTCAGAGCTCAAGAGAAGACATATTACACTATCCCAGGCTCAACATTTTTCAGAGCCAGCTGCAAACCAATTAACAGATGACTATGTTGCTCAGTGATACAGTTCAGTATGTTCATGAGTCATCACTTATCATTTATTACAGTCACTGAATCATGCCTTGTTTTTGTTTACGTGTAGGTGGGGGTTTGGACTCCCAGGGCTGGTCCACATGCATGACCTCCAGCATGCAGCTGGCCCAGGAGTGCCTAAAGGACCCACCTGAGGCGTCAGAGGAGCCGCCTGCTCCACTGGAGGGCCTGGAGATGTTTGCACAAACTATTGAGACGGGTGAGTCACTGTGTAGGCCTTGTTTGCATGTGTGCGTGGCAGTGAAAAGCGTGCACCTGTTTTAAAGTTGTCATTATTGTACCTGTACTGTCCCCTGTGGTTGGTTATAGTGCATTCTGAAGATAACATATTTTTCAGTCATTTTCAAACTGTGTCAGTCGTGTACTGTCCAGTCCAAGCTTGTGAGATAAGGACTCAAATCACATCACTGGTGTCCCTTGTTAGTGTCTTTGTGACCAATATGCTTAGTGATAATGAATGTCCCTGTTTGTGTTTTGCTGCAGTCCTGCGTCGGATAAAAGTCACCCTCCTGGACACAATAATCCGAATAGAGCACCAGCCCCTGGACATGGAGACGGGCATTGCCTTAGAGGTGCACATCAAACGGTATTTTGGTTCTCACCGCACTGACACTCTCACACTGCCTGTGGTGGTCCGTCCACCTTTGACCAGTTTAGAAGTCAGGAAGGAAACGAGATGAGGAAACACTTGAGGCAAACCTGCAGTGCCAAACTGTCTCTGGATTTGTCTGTAGATCCAAAGAGAACCTTTGAACCTCGGAGAAGCTTCACTATCTTTGGTAGAGCTTGTATGTGTGTATGGTGGGTGTTTTGGCTGAGGTTGAAGGTTATACAGCGTTGTTGTGCTGAGTGTTCTTCTCTGCCCCCGGTGGCTGTGTGGTGCGCTGCAGGCTGGAGTACTGTGACGAGGCGGTGAGGGACCCCAGTCAGACAGTGCCTGTAGACATCCACCAGCCCCCTGCCTTCCTGCACAAGATCCTCCAGCTCAGCTCTGTTCAACTGCTGTACGAGACCACTGGAGGGCCCCAGGTAGCACACTGTTTCACATTGACCATGGCACATATCAATCCCCTCATGTACACACAGTCACTCTCACATGCATATACTCACATGCATATACTCTCATATTGGGTCCCAATATAACACACACCTCTTATAGAGACTAAATACTAACTTAGAAACTACTCACATACTCTCATACAGTATTTCCTCTCACTCTCCCCCTAGTTTGAGAGGCAAAATGAGACTAGGGGCTGATTGGATAAGAGCGTCTGCTAAATGACTTAAATGTAAATAGACTGTACCAACCAGTGGTGCTAAGGGTTAACCCTGGTAATATTTCTCTCCTCCTCAGGGTCCTTTAAGAGCTGACACCCCTGGCTCAGCCTCAGCCAGCGAAGAGGAGGAGGTAGGTGATGAGGAGGACGATGACTCTCCAGTCGCCCCCACCTCCCCCCCTCCGGCCACCCAGCAGCCCCTCCTCATCGGCAGCTGTTCCGGCTTCATGGAGACCACAGTCAAGATCAAACAGAACGACATGCTGCCTGGACCTAAGGTGTGTGTTTGTCTGTGGTTTGGTTCAGTTCCTTCCTGTGTGTTTAACCTAGATTTTAAGAACACTGTCTTGTTTTGTCACTATTATTCCAACCATTTTCTCCTTATCTTTCAGTTGGAGCTGGATGGGAAGGTGGGCTTCCTTCACCTGCTGCTCTCTCCAGACCAGATCACTCACCTGACCGACCTTCTATCTGCCCTCTGCATCGACACAGGTGAGTAAAGAAACTGGTTACCTGTACCTCCCCACCTGCATTCCACCTACACTGAGTATACAAAACATGCTCTTTCCATGACATAGACTGATGAGGTGAATCCAGGTGAAAGCTGTGATCACTTATTGATGTCACCTGTTAAATCCACTTCAATCAGTGTAGATGAAGGGGAAGAGACAAATTAAGGAAGGATTTCTAAGCCTTGAGACATTGATTGATTGTGTGTGTGTGTGTGTGTGTGTGCTATTCAGAGGGTGAATGGGCAAGACAAAAAATGTAGGTGCCTTTAAGCGAGGTATGGTAGTAGGTGCCAGGCGCACCGGTTTGTGTCAAGAACTGCAACGCTGCTGGGTCTTTCACACTCAACAGTTTCCCGTGTGTGTCAAGAATGGTCCACCACCAAAAGGACATCCAGCTAACTGGACACAACTGTGGGAAGCATTGGAGTCAACATGGGCCAGCATCCCTGTGGAACGCTTTCGACACCTTGTAGAGTCCATGCCCTAACAAATTGATGCTGTTCTGAGGGCAAAGGGGGGGTGCAACTTAATATTAGGAAGGTGTTCTTAATGTTTTGTACACTCAGTGTATGTGTCTTAGTTCCACATCCTTATTTCATTGACAGTGGAACAAAACTCACTTAATTGAACACACTTTATTTGGATCCACAGTTCAGTGTATTTTAACCATGCTCATCATCATACACACTGTGTACTGCAGACCCTGTATGATTCCTCCCTGTCTATCCTACCAGAGCCTGAGGCCAGTGGTGCTGGGGTTCACAGCCGTCCCCTGGACTCTGAGGACCTGCGTCTGATAGAGGAGGACTTGAGCAAACAGTTGAGCTCCAGCCCCGGAGATGGAGATCCGGACTGGGACGACGAGCCTGACATGGAGCCCTACCTCACCGGTCTGGAGAACGGGGGTATGTGGAGGGCAGCCAAAGTTGGAATGCAATATGGAGGCTAGTGAATTTGAGGTGACAGGGGTCACATTGGCTTTGTGGTGACACAGTCTGCAGGACACATGTACAGTAGTTTGCTGCTGCATAATTTGCATTCTTGACATTTCTGTGAGAGATTGGTTGAAGTAGACATGTGAAGCATAGTGCACATTGTCTCTGTGTTTAATCACTCACTCACTCACTCACTCACTCACTCACTCACTCACTCTCTCACTCTCTCGCTCAGATATGTTCTTCTCCATGGGTCCTGGTATGACCAGCAGTGTGACGTCAGCGCGCTCTGGCAGCTCTCTCTCTGACAGCATGGCGTCGTCTACACACAGCCAGGCTAGCTACGCCCAGGGCCTACCACAGGGTCCCAGGCGTTATCCTGTACCAGGAACACTATCCAGCCTGCCCCAGTGTAGCAGAATACCAGGTAACACTCACATCTTACTCACACTGTCTTGTGCACATTTCACAGGTAACAAAAACTATATTATACAACCTATCTTATTAACCCCTCCTCTTCCAGGGCGAAGTAGCCAATCAGAGCCCCTGAAACCAGAGGCATTGCTCCGCCTCTCGATTGGCGGGCTCACCCTAACCTTACTGGAGCAGGACCCGACCCCCGGGCCGGATGGAGTGTCCTCATTGACCCAGGTGTCTCGAGTGTTCTTCCGGGAGCTGGCCTTCTTCAAAGACAGTATGTTCAGCGAGAGAGACTTCCACCACCTCAGAGCTAGCTTCGCTAAAGCCTGCCCCCACTCACATCTCAGGTACAAACACACAATAGCCTCTTCAACGTTGGCCGCCACTCCTCAGATAAATCAACAAACCTGCCTGCCCTACATATCAATAAATCATATTTTCTCTCTCTCTCTCTCCCTCTCTCTCTCAGGATGACTGGAGCAGCGGTACAGGTGGCGTGTGAGATGCGCAGTGCAGGTCGCCACTCCCGTGCTGTGACCTCTGACCTATCCTTCAGTAGGCTAGAGCTACTTGAGTGCCTCTGGGAGCCAGGAAATCCCCAATACACTGAGGTAGGACAGGGGCTGTTATTTGAGATTGTCTGAGGGCTTTAACACAACATTCATCATAATACAGTGTGCTATAGCAGGGGATAGCATTGCCCAGGATATAACTCTTCCCTCCCTCTCTCCTTCCTCACTCTCTTCGCTCCCACTCCTCATTCCTCTTTTCTCCCTCTCTAGTTGCTCCAGTTCCAGCGTGCTGGGATGTTCACAGTGGGAGCTACAGCCAGACCCTGTGCACAGCTACACTACAGTCTCACAGAGAAACACCTGCGCAAGGTAAACCAGGACAGTGTGTATGTTGTGTGTTGGCCTGCGTGTTTGTGTCAGTTGAACATGTTCAAAAGCTAATATGTCATTGATTCAGTCTGTTTTGGTCGCCTCTGTTAACCTGCTACCCCCTCCTCCTGATATGTCGCTGTATTGCAGGGGAGGCAGCGTGTGGTGCGTAGAGACAGTGTAGTGAGGGTAGAGTTGGGAGAGCTGAGTGCTGAGTTGGACCTGGACATTCTGAGTCGACTGGAACCTCTGAGCAGAGCCTGCAGCCACTGTCCCACACAGACAGGAGGAGGACCCGTACACACACAGGTAAACACTTAGCAAGCCATCAGCTGCTAAGAGGAGCATTTTGATAATGGTTGATAATGATTTTGATATGCCTGCCTCACAATTGAAGTTAAATTGCAGGTTTGCTTTATGTTTAGATTCTTTATTTTAAAATTCTCCCCTCTTTTTTTCCTCTCCTCTTCCTCTTCCATCCCTCTCTCAGACCCAGAGCAGTGAGCTGCACTCCTCTCTCTCCCTCCTCTCGCCCCACGCCGTCCTCAAGCTCCGCTTCCCCATCCCGGACCTCCGGCCGCTCCCCTTCCGACGCCCACTTTCCCAGAGAGCCATGCGGGAGGAGACCCTGGTGCTGGAGCTGTTTGACCTGGATATCTGCTCCCAGGAGGGCCCTGACCTCCAGCCAGATCCCCATGCACCCCCTGCCCCCCCCCACGGCTCCCTCACACAGCTATTGGAGGCCAGCTTCAGTGACATGCACGGTGAGGAATGCACACACAGTCAAATATACATACACACACAGTAACACTCACATTTTAAGCAATTGTTTGTTCATTGTCTCTCTCAGGAACATATGAGGGCTGGGAAGGAGGCTCCTTCCCCTGTATCAGAGTCCAGAAGAGTCAAGACTCCATGGCCAAGTGAGTGTGTTTCTGGAACATGTGTTTTAGGAGAGTTTGTTTCACTTGCTGTGCTACTTGGATTGAATGTCTTTCAGAACTCAACATTGCACATCAATCTACTGTACACCAAGTTCACAGCTGCATAGTTTACATCTCCCTCCCTCTCTCCAGGCTGTCAGTGCGTGTGAGTGGAGGAGAGGGTCTGGGGTCAGCATTAGGAGGAGTAGGGATGGGTCTGATGAGGGACCTGGGGTCCATGTCGTTTGAGAACCCCTGTGAACTTCCGAGAGAAGACCAGCTCCCCCTTCTCCTCCAACCGCACCATGTTCGAGACTGAGGAGGTACCGCACCATCCCATCACAAACACTTACATCCCTCTCTCACCCCTGACCGTCCCTATGCATGTCAATCTCTCCTGGCTCAAAGTGGAGGAGAGATTGACTTCATTACTTGTTTTTGTAAGAAGTGTTGACAAGCTGAATGCACCGAGCTGTCTGTTTAAACTACTAGCACAAAGCTCGGAAACCCATGCATACCCCACAAGACATGCCACCAAAGGTCTCTTCACAATCCCCAAGTCCAGAACAGACTATGGGAGGCGCACAGTACTACTTAGAGCCATGACTACATGGAACTCTATTCCACATCAGATAACTGATGCAAGCAGTAGAATCAGATTTAGAAAACAGATAAAAATACACCTTATTGAACAGCGGGGACTGTGAAGAGACACACACATACTCACACATTCGCTAGCACACACAATCTACACACACGTACATTGTAATGTTGTTGTATGGTGGTATTTTACATGTTGTATTGTAGATATGTAGTGGTGTAATAATATATTTATATGATGTACTGTTTTATATGTTGTTTTATGTGTAATGTAAGTGCCTTAATGTGTTTGGACCCCAGGAAGAGTAACTGCTGCCTTGGCAGAACTAATGGGGATCCATAATAAACTCCAGGAAGTGTAGCTGCTGCCTTGGCAGAACTAATGGGGATCCATAATAAACTCCAGGAAGAGTAGCTGCTGCCTTGGCAGAACTAATGGGGATCCATAATAAACCCCAGGAAGAGTAGCTGCTGCCTTGGCAGAACTAATGGGGATCCTTAATAAACCCCAGGAAGAGTAGCTGCTGCCTTGGCAGAACTAATGGGGATCCATAATAAACCCCAGGAAGAGTAGCTGCTGCCTTAGCAGAACTAATGGGGATCCATAATAAACCCCAGGAAGAGTAGCTGCTGCCTTGGCAGAACTAATGGGGATCCATAATAAACCCCAGGAAGAGTCTGAGGAGACTGAGGAGGTATCATCCCATCACAAACACCTACACTCGTCACTCAATCCTGACCATGCGTCTCTCACTCCTGACCATCCATCCCTCTCTGGACCAATTGTCAGTTTTTCACCTACACTCAATCACCTTACCATCCCTCTCTCACATATAATCTCACACTTCCTGAAGATGTGTTTTTATTTGACCCACTTTCCTCATTCTCCCTCTCATCCTTCTGTCCTGTCTCTCTACTTCCCCCTCAGATGGTGATCCCAGCAGACCCAGAGGGGATGCAGCAGTTCCAGTCTCAGTGTGTCTCTCAGTGTCAGTGTGTAGTAGACATCTTTCTGCCCCTGGCCTACATCTTCCTGCCCAGCAAACAGGCCTTCCAGAGCGTCTACAACAGGTCTGTGTGTCTGTCTGTCTCTCTTTTTCTGCTAGTTTGCTTATTTGTACAAAAAAAGTATTAAATTGTATGCACTCACTACTATAAGTCTCTCTGGATAAGAGCGTCTGCTAAATGACTCACTACTGTAAGTCTGTCTGGATAAGAGCGTCTGCTAAATGACTCACTACTGTAAGTCTCTCTGGATAAGAGCGTCTGCTAAATGACTCACTACTGTAAGTCTGTCTGGATAAGAGCGTCTGCTAAATGACTCACTACTGTAAGTCTGTCTGGATAAGAGCGTCTGCTAAATGACTCACTACTGTAAGTCTCTCTGGATAAGAGCGTCTGCTAAATGACTCACTACTGTAAGTCTCTCTGGATAAGAGCGTCTGCTAAATGACTCACTACTGTAAGTCTCTCTGGATAAGAGCGTCTGCTAAATGACTCACTACTGTAAGTCTGTCTGGATAAGAGCGTCTGCTAAATGACTCACTACTGTAAGTCTGTCTGGATAAGAGCGTCTGCTAAATGACTCACTACTGTAAGTCTCTCTGGATAAGAGCATCTGCAAATGACTAACATGTCAATGTAAACATTTTACAATCACTCACTTCCTCTTTTTCTGTCCTTTCCCTCTGTCCTCCTCTCTCCCTCTCCATCCCTGTAGGATCAATAATGACCTGTTGATGTGGGAAGCCCCTCCCCCCTCAGACCCTAAGAGCGACCACAGCCCCCAACACCGTCGCCAAGATGATGACAACTTCCAGCTTTGCAAGTCTGCATTCAGACTAGGTGAGACCCCCATACTTGTAGAGACTTGTAAACCACTTCAGACTGGTCAGACATTCAGAATTGGATAATCTCTGGGTAGCATCTTGTTAACATCTTTAGTCTATTTAAAGCTCTGATTTAAGATGGCTTGCCAAGTGGTATGTGTTGAGCAACTCTTTAGTCTGCACCCCTGCAGACCATCTGAAATGTGTAGTTGCTGGTTGCTCAGCAGTTCTATAACTGGGATATTTCTGGTCTCTCAGACTCAGACTCCGAGGAGGAAGATGCTCAGTTCTACACAGCCAGTGAATCAACCAGACGCAGGCAGTCAGAGCCCCGCCCTAACCACGCCCTCAGCCTGCTCTCCCTCACCGTTGTCATAGGAAAGGGCCGCCTCCAAGCCATGACGGACAGCAAGGTGAGCCATTGATGAACCAGCTACATCTTACAATGGTTAGCTAGGGAAATAGACTGGAGAGATTTTGGATCCTGTTTCAAATCCTGACTGGACCTTAATGCTTGAATGAGCGATATTAGAGCAAACAGACATTTCATTTGAATTCAATAGTTTGGAATTTGTATTACACAAATTGAATGATTTAATGTATATATACAATGACGCTTCTAAGGAAGACACTTGTTTAAATAAATCGTTTTATTTTTCTCGTCTCCTTCAGGGAGAGACAGGAAGTCAGGAGGACCGGTGTCATGGGGAGCTCCTGTTGGACCTGGAAGGGGGGAAGATGTTCAGCGTGGCGCAGCATCAGAACAATCCCCATCTCAGCTTCCTGTGCCTGGAGAGCAGGAGGGTGGAACTTTACCACAAAGGTGAGTGGAATGACTCTGTGATATCAGGGTTTAGCTCTGGGAGTACTACCTACCTAGTCATTTGTAAAAGTGTGATAATCCATGTGTTATCATGTACAGTGCCTTGCAAAAGAATTCATCCCCCTTGGCGTTTTTCCTGTTTTGTTGCGTTACAACCTGTCATTTAAATGGATTTTATTTGGATTTCATGTAATGGACATACAAAAAATAGTCCAAATTGGTGAGGTGAAATGAAAAAAATAACTCGTTTCAAAAAATAAATAACGGAAAAGTGGTGCGTGCATATGTATTCACCCCCTTTGCTATGAAGCCCCTAATTTAATTCTGAAATTAGCCCACCCAACTACCTCATCCCCAAATTGTTATTTATTTTGCTAATTTGCACCCCAGTATCTCTATTTGCACCCCAGTATCTCTATTTGCACATCATCTTTTGCACATCTATCATTCCAGTGTTAATACGAAATTGTAACTATTTTTCACTATGGCCTATTTATTGCCTTACCTCCATAACTTACTACATTCGCACACACTGTATATATATTTTCTGTTTGTATTTTTGACTTTATGTTTTGTTTACCCCATATGTAACTGTTGTTGTTTTTATTGCAATGCTTTGCTTTACCTTGGCCAGGTCGCAGTTGTAAATGAGAACTTGTTCTCAACTGGCTTACCTGGTTAAATAAAGGTGAAATAAATAAAATAAAAAAGCCGTACACTCCACAGAGCTGGGCTTTACGGAAGTGTGGCCAGAAAAAAGCAATTTCTTAAAGAAAAAAATAAGCAAACATGTTTGGTGTTTGCCGAAAGCCATGTGAGAGACTCCCCAAACATATGGAAGAAGGTACTCTGGTCAGATGAGACTAAAATTGAGCTTTCTGGCCATCAAGGAAAATGCTATGTCTGGCGCAAACCCAACACCTCTCATCACCCCGAGAACACCATCCCCACAGTGAAGCATGATGGTGGCAGCATCATGCTGTGGGGATGTTTTTCATCGGCAGGGACTGGGAAACTGGTCAGAATTGAAAGAATGATGGATGGCGCTAAATACAGGGAAATCCTTGAGGGAAACCTGTTTCAGTCTTCCAGAGATTTGAGACTGGGATGGAGGTTCACCTTCCAGCAGGTCAATGACCCTAAGCATACTGCTTAAGCAACACTTGATGGTTTAAGGGGAAACATTTCAATGTCTTGGAATGGCCTAGTCAAAGCCCAGACCTCAATCTAATTGAGAATCTGTGGTATGACTTAAAGATTGCTGTACACCAGTGGAACCCATCCAACTTGAAGGAGCTGGAGCAGTTTTGCCTTGAATAATGGGCAAAAATCCCAGTGGCTAGATGTGCCAAGCTTATAGAGACATACCCCAAGAGACTTGCAGCTGTAATTGCTGCAAAAGGTGGCTCTACAAAGTATTGACTTTGGGGGGGGGGGGGATTATGCACGCTCAAGTTCCTTTTTTTGGTCTTATTTCATGTTTGTTTCACAATTTAAAAAAATATTTTGCATCTTCAAAGTGGTAGGCATGTTGTGTAAATCAAATGATACAAACCCCCACAAAATCCATTTTAATTCCAGGTTGAAAGGCAACAAAATAGGAAAAATGCCAAGGGGGGTTAATACTTTCGCAAGCCACTGTATATTTTAGTCATGAGCTAAATGACTGACAGCCCTTACCTCTTTCCTTTCTGGTCACTAACCCTTTTCCTCCCCCTCACAGCTGTAGTGAAAGACTCTCCCGTCCCCGTGCGGTTGGAAATGCCCAGCTTCACTCCCCCAGGGCATCTAGACCTTACCATTTACCCCACAGAGGTGGGGGTGAGCAGTGTGAGTGGTAGGGAGACTGAGGTCCAGATGTTATCCACAGCCATCAAAATCACCCTGGACCCTCAGAGAAACGTCAAGGTAACACGTGTATCTTCTCATTTATTATTTGAATTAAATATCACCTTTTGATTGTGCTTGTAGGTTAGCTGTGCTTATGATGAAGAAATATCACTAACTTAATTCTGTGTTTGTGTATTTTACAGGAGTTCCTGGTTGCCCTTCGTCTCCATGGCGCCACTATGCGACATCGCATGGCACAGACCAATCACAGCTGGCACGAACAGGTATGGGGGATACTAATAAATACTAAAGCTGAGACGCTTCAGGCACCTATCATGATTTGACTGTGTGGGTGTGTGTTTGGTTAGTGAGTCTTGTTGATTAGTCTGTTTTCTTGATGACAGCTGGTTGATTTTCTGGATGTCATTGATGACCCGATCCTGGGCTACACATCTCCTGCAGTTATTACCGTCCTACACACACACCTGGCCACCTGCGCCATGGACTACAGGTATACATACACAGCAGATTTACATATGTGGACAAAGGCAGATAATAAATAATTAACAAACTTCTCCCTTCTCTCCCCTTCTTTGTTGCTCTCTGTCTCTCAGGCCCCTGTATCTTCCATTGAGGGTGTTGTTCACAGCAGAATCCTTCTCTCTCTCCAGTAACATCATCGTAGACACTGCCACCTTTCACCTCAGGTACAGTGAACCTCAAAAGATGAGTTCTTCCTTTTAGTTCAGGGATGGGCAACTGGCGCCCCCCCTTTTTGTAGGCCCGCGGACCAATTAAAAATAAATAATTATAATCTATATTTTTTGGAACTCAGTCGGGGTCTCAACTTACTGTTGAGAGTTAGAATAATAGAATACACAAGGTTATCTGCAAACATTTGCCTCCACCCTATAGTATTGCTCGCCTGAGGTAGAGTACCTCACGATAAGCTGTAGACCACACTATCTACCAAGAGAGTTTTCATCTATAGTTTTCATAGCCTATTTACCACCACAAACCAATGCTGGCACTAAGACCACACTCAACGAGCTGTATAAGGCCATAAGCAAACAAGAAAATGCTCATCCAGAAGCGGCACTCCTAGTGGCCGGGGACTTTAATGCAGGCAAACTTAAATCCGTTTTACCTCATTTCTACCAGCATGTCACATGTGCAACCAAAAGTAAATAAACTCTAGACCACCTTTACTCCACACACAGAGACCATTACAAAGCTCTCCCTCGCCCTCCATTTGGCAAATCTGACCATAATTCTATCCTCCTGATTCCTGCTTACAAACAAAAACTAAAGCAGGAAGTACCTGTGACTTGCTCAATACGGAAGTGGTCAGATGACGTGGGTACTATGCTACAGGACTGTTTTGCTAGCACAGACTGTAATATGTTCCGGGATTCATCCAATGGCATTGAGGAGTATACCACCTCAGTCACCGGCTTCATCAATAAATGCATTGACACCGTCGTCCACACAGTGATCGTACGTACATATCCCAACCAGAAACTATGGATTACAGGCAACATCCGAGCTAAAGGCTAGAGCTGCCGCTTTCAAGGAGCGTGACACTAATCTGGACGCTTATAAGAAATCCCGCTATGCCCTCAGACGAACCATAAAACAGGCAAAGCGTCAATACAGGACTAAGATTGAATTCTACTAAACCGGCTCTGATGCTCGTCGGATGTGGCAGGGCTTGCAAACTATTACAGACTACAAAGGGAAACCCAGCCGCGAGCTGCCCAGTGACGCAAGCCTACCAGATGAGCTAAATACCTTTTATGCTCGCTTCGAGGCAAGCAACACTGAAGCATGCATGAGAGCACCAGCTGTTCCGGATGACTGTGTGATCATGCTCTCCGTAACCGATGTGAGCAAGACCTTTAAACAGGTCAACATTCACAAAGCCACAGGGCCAGACGGATTACCAGAACGTGTACTCGGAGCATGTGCGGACCAACTGGCAAGTGTCTTCACTGACATTTTCAACCTCTCCCTGACCGAGTCTGTAATACCTACAGTGAGCGAAAAAAGTATTTGATCCCCTGCTGATTTTGTACGTTTGCCCACTGACAAAGAAATGATCAGTCTATAATTGTAATGGTAGGTTTATTTGAACAGTGAGAGACAGAATAACAACAAAAAAATCCAGAAAAACGCATGTCAAAAATGTTATACATTGATTTGCATTTTAATGAGGGAAATAAGTATTTGACCCCCTCTCAATCAGAAAGATTTCTGGCTCCCAGGTGTCTTTTATACAGGTAACGAGCTGAGATTAGGAGCACACTCTTAAAGGGAGTGCTCCTATTCTCAGCTTGTTACCTGTATAAAAGACACCTGTCCATAGAAGCAAGCAATCAATCAATCTGATTCCAAACTCTCCACCATGGCCAAGACCAAAGAGCTCTCCAAGGATGTCAGGGACAAGATTGTAGACCTACACAAGGCTGGAATGGGCTACAAGACCATCGGCAAGCAGCTTGGTGAGAAGGTGACAACAGTTGGTGCGATTATTCGCAAATGGAAGAAACACAAAAGAACTGTCAATCTCCCTCGGCCTGGGGCTCCATGCAAGATCTCACCTCGTGGAGTTGCAATGATCATGAGAACGGTGAGGAATCAGCCCAGAACTACACGGGAGGATCTTGTCAATGATCTCAAGGCAGCTGGGACCATAGTCGCAAAGAAAACAATTGGTAACACACTACGCCGTGAAGGACTGAAATCCTGCAGCGCCCGCAAGGTCCCCCTGCTCAAGAAAGCACATATACAGGCCCGTCTGAAGTTTGCCAATGAACATCTGAATGATTCAGAGGAGAACTGGGTGAAAGTGTTGTGGTCAGATGAGACCAAAATCGAGCTCTTTGGCATCAACTCAACTCGCCGTGTTTGGAGGAGGAGGAATGCTGCCTATGACCCCAAGAACACCATCCCCACCGTCAAACATGGAGGTGGAAACATTATGGTTTGGGGGTGTTTTTCTGCTAAGGGGACAGGACAACTTCACCGCATCAAAGGGACGATGGACGGGGCCATGTACCGTCAAATCTTGGGTGAGAACCTCCTTCCCTCAGCCAGGGCATTGAAAATGGGTCGTGGATGGGTATTCCAGCATGAAAATGACCCAAAACACACGGCCAAAGCAACAAAGGAGTGGCTCAAGAAGAAGCATGTTAAGATCCTGGAGTGGCCTAGCCAGTCTCCAGACCTTAATCCCATAGAAAATCTGTGGAGGGAGCTGAAGGTTCGAGTTGCCAAACGTCAGGCTCGAATCGAAACCTTAATGACTTGGAGAAGATCTGCAAAGAGGAGTAGGACAAAATCCCTCCTGAGATGTGTGCAAACCTGGTGGCCAACTACAAGAAACGTCTGACCTCTGTGATTGCCAACAAGGGTTTTGGCACCAAGTACTAAGTCATGTTTTGCAGAGGGGTCAAATACTTATTTCCCTCATTAAAATGCAAGTCAATGTGTAACATTTTGACATGCGTTTTTCTGGATTTTTTTGTTGTTATTCTGTCTCTCACTGTTCAAATAAACCTACCATTAAAATTATAGACTGATCATGTCTTTGTCAGTGGGCAAACATACAAAATCAGCAGGGGATCAAATACTTTTTTCCCTCACTGTACATGTTTCAAGCAGACCACCATAGTACCTGTGCCCAAGAAAGCGAAGGTAACCTGCCTAAATGACTACCGCCCCATGGCACTCACGTCGGTTGTCATGAAGTGCTTTGAAAGGCTGGTCATGGCTCACATCAACACCATCATCCCACTCCAATTCGCATACCGCCCCAACAGATCCACAGATGACGCAATCTCAATCGCACTCCACACTGCCCTTTCCCACCTGGACAAAAGGAACACCTATGTGAGAATGCTGTTCATCGAATACAGCTCAGCGTTCAACACCATAGTGCCCAGAAAGCTCATCACTAAGCTAAGGACCCTGGGACTAAACACCTCCCTCTGCAACTGGATCCCGGACTTCCTGACGGGCTGCCCCCAGGTGGTAAGGGTAGGCAACAACACATCTGCCACGCTGATCCTCAACACGGGGGCCCCTCAGGGGTGCATACTTAGTCCACTCCTGTACTCCCTGTTCACCCACCACTGCGTGGCCAAGAACGACTCCAACACCATCATTAAGTTTGCTGACGACACAACAGTGGTAGGCCTGATCACCGACAACGATGAGACAGCCTATAGGGAGGAGGTCAGAGACCTGGCAGTGTGGTGTCAGGACAACAACCTCTCCCTCAGCTTGAGCAAGATAAAAGAGCTGATCCTGCACTACAGGAAAAGGAGGGCCGAACACGCCCCCATTCACATCGACAGGGCTGTAGTGGAGCGGGTCCAGAGTTCCTTGGTGTCCACATCACCAACAAATGATCATGGTCCAAACACACCAAGACAGTCGTGAAGAGGGCACGACAACACCTTATCCCACTTAGGAGACTGAAAATATTTGGCATGGGGTCCCCAGATCCTCAAAAGGTTTTACAGCTGCACCATCGAGAGCATCCTGACCAGTTGCATCACCACCTGGTATGGCAACTGCTCTGCGCTACCGAGGGTAGTGCGTATGGCCCAGTACGTCACTGGGACCAAGCTTCCTGCCATCCAGGACCTGTATACTAGGTGGTGTAAGAGGAAGGCCCAAAAAATTGTCAAAGACTCCAGTCACCCAAATCATAGACTGTTCTCTCTGCTACCGCACGGTAAGCAGTACCGGAGCGCCATGTCTAGGTCCAAAAGGCTCCTTAACAGCTTGTACCCCCAAGCCATAAGACTGCTGAACAATTAATCAAATGGCAACCCGGACTATTTACATTGCTGCTACTTGCTGTTTATTATCTACTTTACCCCTACCTACATGTACAAATTACCTCGACTAACCTGTAACCCCGCACATTGACTCGGTACTGGTACCCCATGTATATATCCTCGTTATTTTTGTGTTACTTTTTATTGAATTTTTTACTTTAGTTTATTTAGTAAATATTTTCTTAACTCTATTTCTTGAACTGCATTGTTGGTTAAGGGCTTGTAATCATTTAATGGTAAGGTCTACACCTGTTGTATTCGGAGCATGTGACAAATAAAAAATTGATTTGAAATGTATAGAATTGCAGGAAATTAACATATATTTTTTATATTCTCTGTCACGAGGGGGACTCGCAAGGGGGGGGGGGGGATAACATAATTGTTGGTTGTTGAAGTTTGTGATGGTATTTCCTCCTCAGGTTTATCCTGGATGATTCTGCCATGTATCTCTCTGATAAGTGTGAAAGTGACGTAGTGGACCTGAGACGAGGTATGACACATTATTAACTATACCGTGTGTGTACATCTACGTCTGAGTGTGTTTGCATTTCTAACTCTGTCTCTCTCTCTCTCTCAGACTATGTGTGTGTTCTGGACATTGATCTGCTGGAGCTGGCTGTCACCACATGGAAAGGCAGTGATACAGGGAAACTGGTAAGTTCTTAGCCTGACAATCTTATGTGATTACACATCTGTCTGTGTGTTTGAACTTGAGAGACTGTCGGTCTCAAATCTACGGTCTCGTCCTTTCTTCTCCTCGACGGAGAAGGGCGACATCTTACGACTTCCAACCCAACTTTGCTATTTAGTGACTTTTATTTTGTTTATCTTTTTCTGAACAAAAAGTTCATACTATTATCACATATAAAATCAAATGTTATTGTTCACATACACGTATTAAGCAGATGATATTGCGGGTGTAGCGAAATGCTTGTGCGCACTTGTGGACATCAGATCAACAGTTACTAACCTCGATTTCAACAGTTACTAACCTCAATTTCAACAGTTACTAACCTCGATTTCAACAGTTACTAACCTAGATTTCGACTTCAACTACGACTTCAACTCCCACAGCTGTTCCACTGTTCATACCAGACCCTATTCCTTGGGCTACCAAAACGACGCAGGCGTCCTGGTAAAATTGAGGTGACGAGAGAACCGAATGGCGCTCCCCTCCATTCTGTTGGCAAATATCCAGTCACTCAAGAATAAGATGGATGAGCTTCGTTCAACAGTCTCCTATCAGAGAGACTTGAAAAGCTGCAATATTATGTCTTACTGAAACGTGGCTGGATGATGACTATTCATGTAGTACTCTGTGGATTCTCCATGCAGCGGCAGGATTGGACGGCAGCTTTGGGGAAGTCGAAAGGAGTGTTTTTTTCATAAATAACAACTGGTGTGCTGCTTCAAGTGTGAAGGATATCTCAAGCTTTTGCTCACCTGATATAGATTACCTCATGGTAAACTGCAGACCCTTTTATCTACCAAGAGAGTTCTCATTCGTAATTATCACGGCTGTCTACATCCCTCCACAAGCCAACACCACTCTGGCACTCAACGAACTGTGTGGGTCCATAGACTAACAAGAAACCGCTCACCCAGAGGCAGCGTTTCTGGTGGGCGGAGACTTTAACGCAGGGAGACACAAAATCGTCCTACCTCACTTCTACCAACATGTCTCCTGCGCCACTAGGGGCGTTAAAATCCAGTTTTATTCTACCCACAGAAACACATACATGGCCCTCCCTCGTCATCCCTTTGGCAAATCTGACCATGACTCCATTCAAATCAAATCAAATGTTATTGGTCACATACACATATTTAGCCGATGTTATTGCGAGTGTAGCGAAATGCTTGTGTTTCTAGCTCCAGCAGTGCAGAAATATCTAACAATTAACAACAATACACACAAATCTAAAAATAAAAGAATGGAATTAAGAAATATATAAATATTAGGGAATTAAGAAATATATAAATATTAGGACGAGTAATGTCGGAGTGGCATAGACTAAAATACAGTAGAATAGAATACAGTATATACATATGAGATGGGTAAAGCAAAAATATGTAAACATTATTAAGTGACTAGTGTTCATTATTAAAGTGGCCAGTGATTCCAAGTCTATATATAGAGGGCAGCAGCCTCTAAGGTGCAGGGTTGCGTAACCGGGTGGAAGCCGCCTAGTGATGTACCTGTACTGACCTCGCCTTCTGGATGATAGCGGGGTGAACAGGCAGTGACTTGGGTGGTTGTTTTCCTTGATGATCATTTTGGCCTTCCTGTGACATCGGGTGCTATAGGTGTCCTGGAGGGCAGGTAGTTTGCCCCCGGTGATGCATTGGGCAGACCGCACCACCCTCTGGAGAGCCCTGCGGTTGCAGGCGGTGCATTTGCTGTACCAGGCGGTGATTCAGCCCGACAGGATGCTCTCAATTGTGCATCTGTAAAAGTTTTTGGGTTTTAGGTGCCAAGCCAAATTTCTTCAGCCACCTGAGGTTGAAGAGGCGCTGTTGCGCTTTCTTCACCACACTGTCTGTGTGGGTGGACCATTTCAGATCATCAATGATGTGTACGCTGAGGTATTTGAAGCTTTCCACCTTCTCCACTGTGGTTCCTTCGATGTGGATAGGGGCGTGCTCCCTCTGCTGTCTCCTGAAGTCCACAATCAGCTCCTTTGTTTTGTTGACGTTGAGTGAGAGGTTATTTTCCTGGCACCACACTCCCAGGGCCCTCACCACCTCCCTGTAGGCTGTCTCGTCATTGTTGGTAATCAGGCCTACTACTGTTCTGTTGTCTGCAAACTTGATTGAGTTGGAGGCGTGCGTGGCCACGCAGTCATGGGTGAACAGGGAGTACAGGAGGAGGCTGAGCACACACCCTTGTGGGGCCCCAGTGTTGAGAATCAGCGAAGTGGAGGTGTTGTTTCCTACCTTCAACACCTGGGAGCGGCCCGTCAGGAAGTCCAGGACCCAGTTGCACAGGGCGGGGTTCAGACCCAGGGCCCCGAGCTTAATGATGAGCTTGGAGGGTACTATGGTGTTGAATGCTGAGCTATAGTCAATGAACAGCATCTTACATAGGTATTCCTCTTGTCCAGATGGGATAGGGCAGTGTGCAGTGCGATGGCGATTGTGTCATCTGTGGATCTATTGGGGCGGTAAGCAAATTGAAGTAGGTCTAGGGTGTCACGTAAGGTAGAGGTGATATGATCATTAACTAGCCTCTCAAAGCACTTCATGATGACAGAAGTGAGTGCTACGGGGCGATAGTCATTTAGTTCAGTTACCTTTTCTTTCTTGGGTACAGGAACAGTGGTGCACATGTTGAAGCAAGTGGGGACAGCAGACTGGGATTGAATATGTCCGTAAACACTCCAGCCAGCTGGTCTGCGCATGCTCTGAGGACGCGGCTAGGGATGCTGTCTGGGCCGGCAGCCTTGCGAGGGTTAACACGCTTAAATGTCTTACTCACGTCAGCCATGGAGAAGGAGAGCCCACAGTCCTTGGTAGCGTGCCGCGTCGGTGGCACTGTGTTATCCTCAAAGCAGGCGAAGAGGTGTTTAGCTTGTCCGGAAGCAAGATGTCGGTGTCCGCGACGTGGCTGGTTTTCCCTTTGTAGTCCGTGATTGTCTGTAGACCCTGCCACTTACGTCTCGTGTCTGAGCCGTTGAATTGCGACTCCACTTTGTCTCTGTACTGACGTTTTGCCTGTTTGATTGCCTTACAGAGGGAATAGCTACACTGTTTGTATTCGGCCATATTCCCAGTCACCTTGCCATGGTTAAATGCGGTGGTTTGCGCTTTCAGTTTTGCGCGAATGCTGCCATCTATCCATGGTTTCTGGTTTGGGTAGGTTTTAATAGTCACTGTGGGTACAACATCTCCTATACACTTCCTGATGAACTCAGACACCGTATCCGTGTATTCGTTGATGTTATTCTCAGAGGCTACCCGGAACATATCCCATTCCGCGTGATCAAAACAATCAGATTGGTCAGACCAGCGTTGAATAGTCCATAGCACGGGTAATGCCAAGAGTATGCAAAGCTGTCATCAAGGCAAAGGGTGGCTATTTGAAGAATCTCAAATCTCAAATATATTTTGATTTGTTTAACACCTTTTTTGGTTACTACATGATTCCATATGTGTTATTTCATAGTTTTGATGTATTCACTATTATTCTACAATTTAAAATAGTAGAAATAAAGAAAAACCCTTTAATGAGTAGGTGTGTCCAAACATTTGACCGTGTGTGTGCGCTACCAGTCAAAAGTTGGACACACCTACTCATTCAAGGGTTTTTCTTTATTTTTACAATTTATTTATTTTATTTCACCTTTATTTAACCAGGTAAGCCAGTTGAGAACAAGTTCTCATTTACAACTGCGACCTGGCCAAGATAAAGCAAAGCAGTGCAATTAAAAACAACAACACAGAGTTACATATGGGGTAAACAAAACAAAGTCAAAAATACATCAGAAAATATATATACAGTGTGTGCGAATGTAGTAAGTTATGGAGGTAAGGCAACAAATAAATAGGCCATAGTGCAAAAATAGTTACAATTTCGTAATTAACACTGGAATGATAGATGTGCAAAAGATGATGTGGAAATAGAGATTGGGGTGCAAATTAGCAAAATAAATAACAATATGGGGATGAGGTAGTTGGGTGGGCTAATTTCAGAATGGCTGTGTACAGGTGCAGTGATCGGTAAGTTGCTCTGACAACTGACGCTTAAAGTTAGTGAGGGAGATAAGTGTCTCCAGCTTCAGAGATTTTTGCAGTTCGTTCCAGTCATTGGCAGTAGAGAACTGGAAGGAATGGCGGCCAAAGGAGGTGTAGGCTTTGGGGATGACCAGTGAGATATACCTGCTGGAGCGCAGACTACGGGTGGGTGTTGCTATGGTGACCAGTGAGCTAAGATAAGACAGGGATTTGCCTAGCAGTGATTTATAGATGACCTGGAGCCAGTGGGTTTGGCGACGAATATGTAGTGAGGGCCAGCCAACAAGAGCGTACAGGTCACAATGGTGGGTAGTATATGGGGCTTTGGTGACAAAATGGATGGCACTGTGATAGACTACATCCAATTTGCTGAGTAGAGTGTTGGAGACTATTTTGTAAATGTCATCGCCGAAGTCAAGGATCGGTAGGATAGTCAGTTTTACGAGGGCATGTTTGGCAGCACGAGTGAAGGAGGCTTTGTTGCGAAATAGGAAGCTGATTCTAGATCTAACTTTTGATTGGAGATGCTTAATGTGAGTCTGGAAGGAGAGTTTACAGTCTAACCAGACACCTAGGTATTTGTAGTTGTCCACATACTCTAGGTCACACCCGCCGAGCGTAGTGATTCTAGTCGGGTGGGCGGGTGCAAGCAGCGTTCGGTTGAAGAGCATGCATTTAGTTTTACTAGTGTTTAAGAGCAGTTGGAGGCTACGGGAGGAGTGTTGTATGGCGTTGAAGCTCGTTTGGAGGTTTGTTAACATAGTGTCCAATGAAGGGCAGATGTATACAAAATGGTGTTGTCCGCATAGAGGTGGATCCGAGCGTCACCAGCAGCAAGAGCGACATCATTGATATACACAGAGAATAGAGTCGGCCCGAGAATTGAACCCTGTGGCACCCCCATAGAGACGGCCAGAGGTCCAGACAACAGGCCCTCCGATTTGACACATTGAACTCTATCTGAGAAGTAGTTGGTGAACCAGGCGAGGCAGTCATTAGAGAAACTAAGGCTATTTAGTCTGCCAATAAGAATGCGGTGGTTGACAGAGTCGAAAGCCTTGGCCAGGTCGATGAAGACGGCTGCGCAGTACTGTCTTTTATCGCTCGCGGTTATAATATCGTTTAGGACCTTGAGCGTGGCTGAGGTGCACCCACGACCAGCTCGGAAACCGGATTGCATAGCGGAGAAGGTACGGTGGGATTCGAAATGGTCGGTGATCTGTTTTTTAACAATGGGGGATAGTAGATTGACATAGGCTAGTGCTTTTGCTGTTCGTTAGGCCTACTCATCTTGTTGGCTGACGTAAGTAGATGTGGACAGTTCTTCCTATGTCTTCAATATGCACCTCAGAATTGGATAAGGACACCTGCAGTTGCGTCCCCGATGTCTCTGTCTTCATTTGTAGCCTGTGAGAAAGACCCGATCATGTGACGGAGAGCCATGTAAGTGAGAGTCGCTTCAGGTGTATTACGGCCACACAAAGGGGATGCCGCCGTGAAATTCGAGGCATTATCAAGTACTTGTCAAATTGTGAATGAGAGACTATTGGAGTGTGTACAGCCTGCGTTAAAAACAAAGCAGAGCTCATGCCTTTCAAGCAACTTTTTTCAAATCATCATTAGTCTCATCATGCAGCCTTACAATGTATTAAAAATCAAAACATATAGCCCAATGTTTGTAGAACAACTAAAGTTACATTAACTCTAAATTAAGCATATAGGAATACCTATTTCTTTGTTAACCGCTCAACACAGAATAGCCGCATGTGCGCACTCTCTCAAATCGTTTGGAGAAAATATTTATATTTTATTCAGCTTTGTTCAATTGTGTTCTTCATACTATAAAATAATGCCACGGAATTATAAGCAAATCTTGTCTGCTAAATGAACTAGTGTAGCCCACAGCCATTTGGCATAGCCACATAAGGACAACTCAGAGTATGCTATTATTTTCTTCTGAAATAGACTACATTTTTTTCATATCATGCTTCTTTAGACCTGTCTAAAATAAATAATGGATTAATTGTGACAGTGTAGGCTATATTACATGGATTAATTATACTTTTTTAAATGGCTTGTAGGCTATGTGTGGAAGCCAGGAGATGCTAATTAATGTTAATTAACGGTCAATTACCGTTATTTGCTTGACAATCACCGGCTGACAAAATGTCGTGACAGCCACAGCCCTAGTCATGACACACATCAACACTATCATCCCAGACACCCTGGACCCACTCCAATTCACATCCCAGACACCCTAGACCCACTCCAATTCACATCCCAGACACCCTAGACCCACTCCAATTCACATCCCAGACACCCTAGACCCACTCCAATTCACATCCCAGACACCCTAGACCCACTCCAATTCACATCCCAGACACCCTAGACCCACTCCAATTCGCATCCCAGACACCCTAGACCCACTCCAATTCGCATCCCAGACACCCTAGACCCACTCCAATTCGCATCCCAGACACCCTAGACCCACTCCAATTCACATCCCAGACACCCTAGACCCACTCCAATTCACATCCCAGACACCCTAGACCCACTCCAATTCACATCCCAGACACCCTAGACCCACTCCAATTCACATCCCAGACACCCTAGACCCACTCCAATTCACATCCCAGACACCCTAGACCCACTCCAATTCACATCCCAGACACCCTAGACCCACTCCAATTCACATCCCAGACACCCTAGACCCACTCCAATTCGCATCCCAGACACCCTAGACCCACTCCAATTCGCATCCCAGACACCCTAGACCCACTCCAATTCGCATCCCAGACACCCTAGACCCACTCCAATTCGCATCCCAGACACCCTAGACCCACTCCAATTCACATCCCAGACACCCTAGACCCACTCCAATTCACATCCCCAGGACACCCTAGACCCACTCCAATTCACATCCCAGGACACCGGACCAACTCCGATGTCACATCCCAGACACCCATAGACCCACTCCAATTAGCATCCCAGACACCTAGACCCACTCCAATCTCGCATCCCAGACACCCTAGACCCACTCCAATTCGCATCCCAGGACAACCTAGACCCCTCCAATATCGCATCCCAGACACCCTAGACCCACTCCACTTCGCATACAGCCCCAAACAGATCCCAGATGATGCAATCTCAATTGCACTCACACTCCCTCTCCCACTCGACAAGGTTGCGGAAATAACTATGTGAGATGTTGTAAATAGACTACAGCTCAGCGTTCAACACCATAGTCCCCTCCAAGCTCATCACCAAGCTAGGGACCCTGGAAACCTGGAACTGAACCCCTCCCTCTGCAACTGGATCCTGGACTTCCTGATGGGCAACAACACCTACGCCACGCTGACCCTCAACACGGGGGCCCTTTGGGTGTGTTCTTAGTCCCCTTCTGTACTCCCTGTTCACCCATGACTACGTAGTTACGCACAACTCCAACACCATCATCAAGTTTGCTGACAACACAAAGGTGCTAGGCCTGACCACCGACGGCGATGAGACTGCCTACAGGGAGGAGGTCAGAGACTTAGCAGTGCTGCCAGTGCAACAACCTCTACCTCAACGTCAGTAAGACCAAGGAGCTGATCGTGGACTACAGGAAAAAGACGGGGCTGTTGTGGAGCGGGTCGAGAGCTTAAGTTCCTTGGCGTCCACATCACTAATAACTTAACATGGTCCACACTCACCAGCACATTCGTGAAGAGGGCACGGCAGCGCCTTATCCCCCTGGAGGCTGAAAATATTTGGTATGGGCCCTCGGATCTTCAAAAACTTCTACAGCTGCACCATCGACAGCATCTTGACAGGCTGAATCACCACTTGGTATGGCAAATGCACCAGCCCTTGACTGCAAAGAGTTACAGAGGGAAGCTCCCTGCCATCCGACACAACACAAATACACATACATACACATTACACACACACACACACACACACACACACACACTTTTACATTCATAATTTGCTGCTGATGCTCTGTTCTTAACTTACTCTTATTATTATCTATCCTGATGCCTAGTCACTTTACCCTGCCTTCATGTACATATCTACCTCAAATACCTTATTATTATCTATCCTGATGCCTAGTCACTTTACCCTGCCTTCATGTACATATCTACCTCAAATACCTTATTATTATCTATCCTGATGCCTAGTCACTTTACCCTGCCTTCATGTACATATCTACCTCAAATACCTTATTATTATCTATCCTGATGCCTAGTCACTTTACCCTGCCTTCATGTACATATCTACCTTAAATACCTTATTATTATCTATCCTGATGCCTAGTCACTTTACCCTGCCTTCATGTACATATCTACCTTAAATACCTTATTATTATCTATCCTGATGCCTAGTCACTTTACCCTGCCTTCATGTACATATCTACCTTAAATACCTTGTACCGCTGCACATTGATCTGGGACTGGTACTCCCTGTATATAGCTCCATTCTTGTGTATTTTATTTTATTCCTCATGTTACTATTTTATTTGTATCATTATTTTTAAACTGCATTGTTGGGAAGGGCCTGTAAACTGTGGCGTAAAGTACTTAAGTAAAAATACTTTAAAGTTTTTTTGGTATCTGAACTATAATTTACTGTTTATATTTTGGACAACTTTTACTTTTACTACAGTACATTGCTAAAGAAAAGAATGTACTTTCTACTCCATACATTTTCCCTGACACCCAAAAGTACTCGATACATTTTGAATGCTTAGCAGGACAGGAAAATGGTCCAATTCACGCACTTATTACTGCCTCTGATCTGGAGGACTCAATAAACACAAATGCTTTGTTTGTTAAAAAAAATTAATAAAAGTGTGCCGTCTGGTTTGCTTAATATAGGCAATTTGAAATTATTAATACTCTTACTTTTCATACTTAAGTATATTTAAAACAAAATACTTTTAGACTTTTACTCAAGGAGTATTTTACTGGGTGACTTTCTCTTTTACTTGAGTCATCTTCTGTTAAGGTATCTTTACTTTTACTCAAGTATGACAATTGGGTACTTTTTCCACCACTGCCTGTAAGCAAGCATTTCACGGTAAAGTGTACACCAGTTGTGTTTGGTGCATGTGACATAACATTTTATTTGATTTCTATTCCAATCCCCACACCTCCTCTCTGTCTCTTCCCCCAGTCCCAGCCTCTGTTTGAGTTGCGTTGCTCCAACAACATGGTCCACCTCCACACCTGTGCTGACTCCTGTGCTGCCCTGGTCAACATGCTGCAGTACCTGGTGTCCCAGGGAGACCTGCACCCGCCCCCCCGACACACATCACCCACTGAGATCGCTGGACAGAAACTGCCGGTAAGACACAGGCCAGTAGACCAATAGTAAACTAGTATACACTACCTTGTTTAAGGTCTGGACAGATTTTGTTTGTTCGGCTAAACGTTGTGTGAGAACAACTGAAGAAAAATGAAACTGTGGAGCGACAGGAAAGGAGCCTAACTGAACCTCAACTATCTGTCTGTGACTTGTTTTAGTTGTCAGAAAGTCCCGCCTCCTTGCCACCCTGCCCTCCAGCTGAGACTGCTGAGATCAACCAGTACGATCTCCTTGATGCTTTGATTGACACCGAGAGGAGCCTTCGAGATGAGGATATGGATTCAGGTAAAACGGGGGAATTAAATGATAGTGTAGTTCGATATCTCCCCCTATAAAATCCTTCTGTACATTTGATAGATGAAATGGATGGCCATTAGCTATTCCTGTGTGTATTTCCTATTTCTAATGCATATTACTTCTAAATTAACATTTCTATGTCCAGGATCTCCCACAGTCCCGCGGGGCTCACCTGTCTCTGTCTACCTGTTTCCTGGGGAGGCCCGTAAGCTCCGCCCACCAGTTGTCATTGAGGGGGAGGAGTCAGAGCTTGACAAACTGGTGGTGACAGCCACTGAGGTGCAGATGGATATGATGTCAGAGGAGGGCTCTGAGGGTTCAGAGGACAACGAGGACTTCTGTATCCTAGAGGCTCCTGGGATGGGTATACCTGTGAGTCTCTGTTCTCTATTTCATTATCTCTCTCTCTACTCTCCCTCTATACTCTCTCTCCTGCTATACTCTCTCTACTCTCCCTTTATACTCTCTCTCTACTCTCCCTCTCTACTCTCCCTCTGTAGTCTCTCTCCCGCTCTACTCTCTCTACTCTCTCTCTCCTTCTATACTCTATACTCTCTCCCTCTCTATACTCTCTTTATATATACACTACTGTTCAGCAATTCTGGCTTTTTATTTGCAGCTCTGCCTAGAAGGTCAGCATCCCGGAGTCGCCTCTTCACTGTTGACGTTGAGTCTGGTGTTTTGCGGGTACTATTTAATGAGGCTGCCAGTTGAGGACCTGTGAGACACCTGTTTCTCAAACTAGACACTAATGTATTTGTCCTCTTGCTCAGTTGTGCACCGGGGCCTCCCTACTCCTCTTTCTATTCTTGTTAGAGACAGTTTGCGCTGTTCTGTGAAGGGAGTAGTACGCAGCGTTGTACGAGATCTTCAGTTTCTTGGCAATTTCTCGCATGGAATAGCCTTCATTTCCCAGAACAAGAATAGACTGACGAGTTTCAGAAGAAAGTTATTTGTTTCTGGCCATTTTGAGCCTGTAATCGAACCCACAATTGTTGATGCTCCAGATACTCAACTAGTCTCAAGAAGGCCAGTTTTATTGCTTCTTTAATCAGCACAACAGTTTTCAGCTGTGCTAACATAATTGCTAAGGGGTTTTCTAATGATCAATTAGCCTTTTAAAATGATAAACTTGGATTAGCAAACACAACGTGCCATTGGAACACAGGACTGATGGTTGCTGATAATGGGCCTCTGTACGCCTATGTAGATATTCCATTAAAAATCAGTAGTTTCCAGCTACAATAGCCATTTACAACATTAACAACGTCTACACTGTATTTCTGATCAATTTGATGTTATTTTAATGGACAAAAAAATTGCTTTTCTTTCGAAAACAAGGACATTTCTAAGTGACCCCAAACTTTTGAACAGTTGTATGTGTATATATACACAGTGGGGGAAAAAAGTATTTAGTCAGCCACCAATTGTGCAAGTTCTCCCACTTAAAAAGATGAGAGAGGCCTGTCATTTTCATCATAGGTACACGTCAACTATGACGGACAAATTGAGAAAAAGAAATCCAGAAAATCACATTGTAGGATTTTTTATGAATTTATTTGCAAATTATGGTGGAAAATAAGTATTTGGTCACCTACAAACAAGCAAGATTTCTGGCTCTCACAGACCTGTAACTTCTTCTTTAAGAGGCTCCTCTGTCCTCCACTCATTACCTGTATTAATGGCACCTGTTTGAACTTGTTATCAGTATAAAAGACACCTGTCCACAACCTCAAACAGTCACACTCCAAACTCCACTATGGCCAAGACCAAAGAGCTGTCAAAGGACACCAGAAACAAAATTGTAGACCTACACCAGGCTGGGAAGACTGAATCTGCAATAGGTAAGCAGCTTGGTTTGAAGAAATCAACTGTGGGAGCAATTATTAGGAAATGGAAGACATACAAGACCACTGATAATCTCCCTCGATCTGGGGCTCCACGCAAGATCTCACCCCGTGGGGTCAAAATGATCACAAGAACGGTGAGCAAAAATCCCAGAACCACACGGGGGGACCTAGTGAATGACCTGCAGAGAGCTGGGACCAAAGTAACAAAGCCTACCATCAGTAACACACTACGCCGCCAGGGACTCAAATCCTGCAGTGCCAGACGTGTCCCCCTGCTTAAGCCAGTACATGTCCAGGCCCGTCTGAAGTTTGCTAGAGTGCATTTGGATGATCCAGAAGAGGATTGGGAGAATGTCATATGGTCAGATGAAACCAAAATAGAACTTTTTGGTAAAAACTCAACTCGTTGTGTTTGGAGGACAAAGAATGCTGAGTTGCATCCAAAGAACACCATACCTACTGTGAAGCATGGGGGTGGAAACATCATGCTTTGGGGCTGTTTTTCTGCAAAGGGACCAGGACGACTGATCCGTGTAAAGGAAAGAATGAATGGGGCCATGTATCGTGAGATTTTGAGTGAAAACCTCCTTCCATCAGCAAGGGCATTGAAGATGAAACGGGGCTGGGTCTTTCAGCATGACAATGATCCCAAACACACCGCCCGGGCAACGAAGGAGTGGCTTCGTAAGAAGCATTTCAAGGTCCTGGAGTGGCCTAGCCAGTCTCCAGATCTCAACCCCATAGAAAATCTTTGGAGGGAGTTGAAAGTCTGTGTTGCCCAGCGACAGCCCCAAAACATCACTGCTCTAGAGGAGATCTGCATGGAGGAATGGGCCAAAATACCAGCAACAGTGTGTGAAAACCTTGTGAAGACTTACAGAAAACGTTTGACCTGTGTCATTGCCAACAAAGGGTATATAACAAAGTATTGAGAAACTTTTGTTATTGACCAAATACTTATTTTCCACCATAATTTACAAATAGATTCATTAAAAATCCTACAATGTGATTTTCTGGAGAAAAAAAATCTCATTTTGTCTGTCATAGTTGACGTGTACCTATGATGAAAATTACAGGCCTCTCATCTTTTTAAGTGGGAGAACTTGCACAATTGGTGGCTGACTAAATACTTTTTTCCCCCACTGTGTATATATATAATACTCTTTCTCTACTCTCTCTCCCGCTATACTCTCTCTCCCGCTATACTCTCTCTCCCTCTATACTCTCTCTCCCTCTATACTCTCTCTCCCTCTACTCTCTCTCATATATATATATATATATATATATATATATATATATATATATATATATATATATATATATATATACTCTGTCTCCCTCTATACTCTCTCTCCCTCTATGCTCTCTCTCTCTCCCTCTATGCTCTCTCTCTCTCCCTCTATGCTCGCTCTCTCTATACTCTCTCTCTATTCTCTCTCTCTATATATATACTCTCTCGCTATACTCTCCCTCTATACTCTCGCTCCCTCTATACTCACTCTCTCGCTCCCTCTATACTCTCTCTCTCGCTCTATACTCTCTCTATATACTCTCTCTACATATACAGTGCCTTCGGAAAGTATTCAGACCCCTTTACTTTTTCCACATTTTGTTACATTACAGCCTTATTCTAAAATGGATTAAATAAATACAAATCCTCAGCAATCTACACACAATACCCCACAATGACAAAGCAAAAACAGGTTTTTAGAAATTTTGAGCAAATTATTTACATAAGTATTCAGACCCTTTGCTATGAGACTCGAAATTAAGCTCGGGTCCTATTACTCGCCGATTAGTCGTAGTTCACATGGAATTTGATTATGTGACATTAAGTACTAAACCTATTCTGGTGTCCCATGTTCATTAATTCACCCCCTCCCCAGCCCAGAGACGGGGAGCCCCTAGTGACGGTGCTAGCTGAGGGTCCTATCAGGGTGAGGGAGGGCCACTTCTCCCGGCCGCGGGGCAGCTCTGACCTGCTGCGGGCCCCCAGCTGCTTCCCTGTCCCCCAGAGCAGGGTGGTGCTACGAGAGGTGTCTGTCGTCTGGCATCTGTACGGAGGGAGAGACTTTGGGGGCAAGGCCATGTCTACACACACGCAGCATGGAAACAGGTCCATATACACAAATGTACACACAACCCAGCAACAGGCACTTGAATTTGGAAGATTTCTCTCTTACTGATCATAAAGCTCCTTTCTCCCTCTCTCTCTTTCCCTCCCCCTCTTTCTCTAGGGGTCGCTCTGCCCCCTCTGGGATGCGTGGGTCCCCGTCCCGCTCCGCTGCTCCGTCCCGGCCTCAGAACTCGTGGCGCTGGGCTGGAGGCGGCGGGCGTCAACACAACTTGCTCATGGAGATCCAGCTCACCAAGGTAGGTAGAGTGTATATACACTACATGACCAAAAGTATGGGACACCTGCTCATCGAACATTTCATTCCAAAATCATGGGCATTAATATGGAGTTGGTCCCCCCTTTGCTGCTATAACAGCCTCCACTCTTCTGGGAAGGCTTTCCACTAGATGTTGGAACATTGCTGCGGGGACTTGCTTCCATTCAGCCACAAGACCATTAGTGAGGTCGGGCACTGATGTTGGGCAATTAGGCCTGGCTCGCAGTCGGTGTTACAATTAATCCCAATGGTGTTTGTTGGGGTTGAGGTCAGGCCTCTGTGCAGGCCAGTCAAGTTCTTCCAATACCGATCTCGACAAAAGATTTCTGTATGGACCTCGCTTTGTGCACGGGGGCATTGTCATGCTCAAACAGGAAAGGGCCTTCCCCAAACAGTTGCCACAAAGTTGGAAGCACAGAATCGTCTAGAATGTCAGTTCATCAAATGCTGTAGCGTTAAGATTTCCCTTCACTAGAACTAAGGGGCCTAGAAAAACAGCCCCAGACCATTATTCCTCCTCCACCAAACTTTACAGGTGGCACAATGCATTTGGGCAGGTAGCGTTCCCAGATTCGTCCGTCGGACTGCCAGATGGTGAAGCGTGATTCATCAATCCAGAGAATGCATTTCCACTGCTCCAGAGTCCAATGGCAGCGAGCTTTACACCACTCCAGCCAACGCTTGGCATTGTGCATGGTGATCTTAGGCTTGTGTGTGGCTGCTCGTACATGGACACCCATTTCATGAAGCTCCTGACGAACAGTTGTTGTGCAGACGTTGCTTCCAGAGGCAGTTTGGAACTCGGTAGTGAGTGTTGCAACCGAGGACAGATTATTTGTACGCGCTTCAGCACACAGCGGTCACGTTCTGTGAGCTTGTGTGGCCTACCACTTCACGGCTGAGCCGTTGTTGCTTCTAGACGTTTCCACTTCACATTAACAGCAGTTACAGTTGACCGGGGCAGGTCTAGCAGGGCTGGAATTTGATGAACTGACTTGTTGGAAAGGTGGCATCCTATTATTTTTCCCCTCATCAACCTACACACAATACCCCATAATGACAAAGCGAAAACAGGTTTTTAGATTTCATTGCAAATTTATAAAAAATTAAAAACGGAAATACCTTATTTACATAAGTATTCAGACCCTTTGCTATGAGACTTGAAATTGAGCTCAAGTGCATCCTGTTTCCATTGATCATCCTTGAGATGTTTCTACAACTTGATTGGAGTCCCCCTGTGGTCAATTCAATTGATTGGACATTATTTGGAAAGGCACACACCTGTCTATATAAAGTCACACAGTTGACAGTGCATGTCAGAGTAAAAACCAAGCCATGAGGTCGAAATAATTGTCCGTAGAGCTCCGAGACAGGATTGTGTTGAGGCACAGATCTGGGTGAAGGGTACTAAAAAATGTCTGCAGCATTGAAGGTTCCCAAGAACACAGTGGCCTCCATCATTCCTAAATGGAAGAAGTGTCCTTACAGTACTCTAAAGATATTGTTTGCCTTTGATTATTTTCTCCGTACAAACTAGAAAGCTAATTCATTTTTCCCCCATCATAAGGATATGTTCAGTTCGAGTGTAGCATAAATGTCAACCAGTCCTTTTGTTAATGTGGAGACAGCAAAAAGCTACATAACCGGTACTATGTGTTTACAACCATGAGTTAATTGTGTCATTCCTGTTCCAGGTGAGCTTCCAGCACGAGTCCTACCCGGTGGTGGCGTCTGCGGCTGGGCCGGGTCAGGACGGAGAGGGGCCTGAGGTGGGGGTGGTGGGGGAGCAGCCTCTGTCCCGCCAGGTGTTCATTGTTCAGGAGCTGGAGGTACGCGACCGCCTGGCCTCGTCCCAGCTTAACAAGTTCCTCTACCTGTATACCAGCGAGAGCATGCCCCGCAGAGCACACTCCAACATGGTGAGAGGGGCTTTTTATAGCCATTTATCATAATTTATTTTCATTGTGAAAGTCTGTTCTTATTAATGATTCTCATTTCCAGGGGAATTATAACGTTTTCTATGATATTGGTTTGTTGTAATCCTGTCTAATATGTTGTCCATGTCTGTGTCTCCCAGTTAACAGTGAAGGCCCTGCAGGTGTGTCCAGACTCTGGTCTGGGTGGTCCAGAGTGTTGTTTAAGAGTCAGCCTCCTGCCCCTCCGACTCAACATCGACCAGGATGCCTTGTTCTTCCTGAAGGATTTCTTCAGTAGTCTGGCTGCTGGAGTTAACCCCTACCTGCCTGTGGACCCTGCAGCTGAGGGTGAGCACCTTCACTGTGTTCTCTGTACTCTACATAATAAGTAGGGCCTGGGGGTTTTTTTCTGGCTCCGGTCACATGGATCAGGAAAGAAATCATACATAGCATACATGGTGCTCTGTATCATGTATCATCTCCTCACCCACTTGATACTTTCTCCTGTTTTCATAATATTCTCTTTTCTCTCTGTCCTCTCACAGTGAAGACAGACCCTTCCCAGAAGCCCGCTGAGGATGGGGTCAGTGGCGCTGAGACCACTGCTGGTCTGGGTCCTGACCTCACCGCTTCTGTAGAAACCACCTATAGCGAGCAGAGCTCCTCATCCGCTGGCTCCACCTCTTCCACTGATCAGCCAATCTACTTCCGGTAATTAACTTCATCCTCCCAAAGAGTAAATCAACAGTCTATTTTGAATGTGTGGAAATTATTTCTACGTTGTCTTTCCTTCTCTTTCTAAGGGAGTTCCGTTTCACCTCTGAAGTTCCCATCTGGCTGGACTACCAGGGCAAGCATGTGGTCATTGAGCAGGTGAAAGGACAAAGAACATTTTAACTGCAATGCTTTGTCAGTGAACTCATCTCTGTGGTTATATTTTTGTTATGTCACACACTTGACATTTTCTTTGTGATTGTTTCCTAGGGGACGTTTGCAGGGATTCTGATTGGTCTGGCCCAGCTGAATTGCTCTGAGCTGAAGCTGAAGAGACTCTGCTGCCGACACGGGTACAACAACACTAACTCTGTGGGGTTTCTCTGTAGTCTGAAGCAAGTGTCTTTTTCATAACGCTTTTCTCTAATATCTCTTCCTCCCAGACTTCTAGGAGTAGATAAGGTGATTCAGTACGCTGTCACTGAGTGGCTGACAGACATCAGGAAGAACCAGCTGCCAGGCATTCTGGGAGGTCTAGGCCCCATGCACTCTGTAGTTCAGCTGTGTAAGTACAGGAAGTGACGTCACTTGTTTGGTGATCTTTGTTTCTTGGCTTTTTTGCTATTGTCCCTTTTAGTAGTTCCTGAGTTATAACCATAGTAATATAATTGTTCTTTTGCAGTATGGTTATAGCTAGCATACTCTCACAACCTCATTTAGTGTTGATCTCATGAGTTTTTTGTGTGTGTAACTTTCTCTCTCTCTAGTCCATGGAGTGAGGGACTTGTTCTGGATGCCCATAGAGCAGTACAGGCGGGACGGCCGCATTATCCGGGGTCTCCAGCGGGGGGCCGCGTCCTTCGGTACCTCCACTGCCTCTGCTGCTCTGGAGCTCAGCAACCGACTGGTGCAGGCCATACAGGTACTACTGACCTCTAACCACAGACAGATCAGCTGGATACAGACGGTCTGTAAGTCACACAGCGGTAGAATACCAATCATACAAGCAGCTCACATAGACATAGGTTGAAACAATGCATCCCATGTACCACACATGTTAATACCACTAACCTTACAGTCACATGTCCTAGATCAGGGTTCTTCAATTCCGGTCCTGGAGGGCCAAAACAGCTCTGTTTTTCATCCTCTCCTTCTAATCAGGGGCTAATTCAGACCTGGGACACCAGGTGAGTGCAATTAACTACCAGGTAGAAATAAAAAACAGAAGTGTTTCGGCCCTCCAGGACTGGAATTGAAGAACCCTGCCCTAGATTGTGGCCAAAGGGTTAGCATACCTAAACCATGTAGGAAAGAACTGAAAGACTAGTAGCAACCGTATGGGTAGAAGCCACTGGGACCAGTAATACAGATTCCTCCATTACTATGATGTGCCTCACTCTCCTGAAGTGTTGTAATATTCCTGCTGTTTCTCCTCTAGGCCACAGCAGAGACGGTGTACGACATCCTGTCCCCAACGCCCCCCCTGAACCGTTACATCACAGAGGGCCGACCGCCCTCCAACCGGCCCCGCCGCGCCCACCAGCCTGCCGACCTCAGAGAGGGCGTGGCTAAGGCCTATGACACCATCAGAGAAGTACGTGTTCTACTGATCAACAAATCAATCAATAAATGTTAATTTAAGGCAACCATTTTAGAATAATAGCAACAACAAAAGGCCTAGCACTTTCTTTCATTTGAACACACAAACTTCTCTCACTCACCCCTCTGTTGTCTGTCTGTTTCCTAGGGCATGATGGACACAGCTCAGACGCTATGTGACGTGGCGACTCGCGGGCATGAGCAGAAAGGTCTGCCTGGTGCTGTGGGCGGAGTCCTGCGGCAGATCCCGCCCACTGTGGTCCGTCCCCTAATAGTGGCCTCTGAGGCAACATCCAACCTACTTGGGGGCATGCGGAACCAGATCAAGCCAGATGCACGGAAGGAGGACTTCTTAAAATGGCGCTCCGAAGAAGGCCAAGAGTGATGATTCTTGGGGGGGGGGATTAAAGGTTAAAGATATGGGAGTGAAATTGTTAAGTGTGTGAATAGATGAAGGGAGTGAATGTGTGAAAACGTGAAAGAGTGAGTTTTAATGCAACAAAACTAACTACTGCGGAGTGATTGACACCCAGTATTTTATGGGGCTCCATATGGATCAAGATACAAATGTTTTTTATTTCTTTCTTCGATGCAATCAAATAGAGCTCAGTTCTGTTCATTCTCCTTGCAGCAGTACGTACATGATGAGGATACTCTACCGTTAGTACTATGTCAACATATCACTGTCATTCTGGGTTGTCTTCATGTTTAGATGTCAACGCTGACAAAGGGCATACAGGGCTCTAGTCTAGTATAAGGTGTCTAGTAGTGGTAGGTGCGATTGAACGTGTTAATCAGTAGCTCTCCCAGTCTTCTGTTAATCAGACTATGGGCCGGTTTCCCAGTTTGAGATTAAACCTATTCCTGGACTGAAAAGCAGTTTGAATGGCGATCCTTAATTGAGCATGCATTTTAGGAGTAGGCTTAATCTGAGTCCGGGAAATCATTCTATTGAGCCTAAATCAGTGTCCACAGGGATTGGATGGTAATATCCATCTCTCTTGTAGTCATGGAGACTGAAGGACTATGATATAGTGGCCTTAGCTGAGATTCTTACAGAGGAATGTCATAGTTAATCAAAACCTCAAAACGCAATTCTGGGATTGTTCCATCCTAGCCTGCACACATCCCCACCCCAGTGTTGTTTGTGCCATAAGCTTGTTCAATGTTGGGTTCCCTGGCCTCTCCTCCTTTGGTTTTAAACCAATGTGTTTAGTTTTATCGCCTTCCTGAAACCTTTACTCATCTCTCTGTATGCTTACTTGTTCATATTTGACCAGTGGACAAAATGACCTGGGCCTGGTTGTGTTAACTAAATGCAGTCATGGGAGAATTTGGACGATGAACTGAACGAACTAGAGAAATGTCCTTTCCTCTCTACGTCAAATGGCTTTGCTTGCATTTAATGCTTGCTAGTGCTTGGTCATCCGATTTGTACTTGCAGTACGTTAACTGTTGTTTTTGTCAGAGCAAGAGGTCCCCTCAGGGCCTTAGACCTTATCACCAGTCTGGTTCCTTCCTCTCAACATAAGACTTGTCTCATTAGTTGCCTTCCTCCATTCTTTATTTGTATTTTCAAATTATGTTAAACTAGTATTATCATTCATTTTCAAATAAGTGTTGGTGGAATCTGTCTGGAGGGTTAAGATGGGGGGGGAAAAAGGGTAAAACATTTTTATATTTTGTTCAATAAGTTTAAGGTGTGTGTGTGTAAGAGAGTGTGTGTGTGTAATGCATGTTTGTGGGTTAGTGGTTTCTTGAGGGTGACCCATGGGTTCTATTGGTCACAGGTCTGTATTTACTATATACCTGTAAGAATGACCTGTATAATACCAAGACAATGAGTATACAAAAAAATAAAACATGAATATAAAAAAACGTAACTTCTCGGTTTCTGTGAGAATTTTTTTTTGGGGGGGGTGCAGTCCTCTGCTTTCCTAAAATAGTTTGTACTGCTAGGAACCTGTTTTAGGATTGATGTTTGGGGGAAACTATTCACTTGCACCATCGACATTCCCGTCCAAATTTAAACGATTTTTTTTTAGTTTGAACGGTAGAGAATCATAATGATTGTAGATAAATACAGTATATATTGACCAAGCTACTGGTTCTCTCACTTTCTTTTATATAGGCGACATTCATAGACTGTAAAGATGAATCTACTGACGCACAACATATTGACATCTCACGTAAAAGAGGTAACCAAAGGATACCCCCCTCGTAAAGGTAAGGAAGTCTGCTCAAAACTAGCTTGCAGAATTGTGGCAACTGGCAAGGTGTCATATGTCGCCCAACCCCCGGGAAACTGTTGAGCGTGAAAACTCAGCAGCGTTGCAGTTTTTTGACACAAACCGGTGCGCCTGGCACCTACTACCATACACAATCTGTGTATAAAAGACTTAAAAATCCTTCTTTAACCTGTCTCCTCCACTTCATATACACCAATTGAAGTGGATTTAACAAGTGTCATCAATAAGGGATCATAGCTTTCACCTGGTCAGTTTGTCATGGAAAGAGCAGGTGCTCTTAATGTTTTGTATACTCAGTGTATATGCGTTTTTTTCATCCCGCTTGTGAGGATCCCAGGCGACGGAGGTGAGTGAGTGAGGTGGAGTTCAATCCCAATTTCGTGAATCGAATGATCCCCAAATTGGATTGGAGCGCACTGGTTCAGGCGGCTGATGGGGTGAGTGTCTGTCTGACTACCACTGTCTGGAATGCCAAACAAACGTGTACACACCAGGGTTTACTCCCAACGGAAAACACAAACGAGAGTTTCTATTGGACAAATTCAGGTAGGTCCATGAAGAGAGATAGAGGACTCATCTTTGTATCTGTGCCGTTATAGTTTATGTGACAGCCAAGGGGCCAGTGTTCAGATCTAGAAGCACGGTTTCGACTGCTCCTACAGTTTTGCTTCTGTACTGCAGTTTAACTGACACCCCGCCCAGAAAAACAATTTTCATACATTGCCACTTAGAGAAGTCAGATTTCAACATTCCTAATAAGACACTTTAGTTAACACCTTTGTGCACAAAACATCCATTGAATCATTCAAATAATTGTCGCTGAGGCAGATTATTTTTTTCATCACTCACAGCCGAAGACATTAACATTTTATATTCATCCAATGTCTGCCATCTTTTTGGATGACGTGATGATGTCGTCGCTGCTCGCGATGCTCCCTGTGCACACTGAGTGCTAGTGCGCATGGAATGTTGGTCCTTATAAACCGGATATAGACTGTCCATGAATCGGCTTATGCGAACATGAGTAGATTACCTTGAAAACAATAGTCAGACATCTTTGACGCAGTCTCCAGTTCTTATTATACCTCAGTGGTGACAGCATGGGCAGCGCCATCGAGGCTATCTCCATTGTAAAGTAGTCAATTGTATTCTTTGCAATTGGCTGATCCCTCCTGATGACCCAGTTGGACATGACTCCAACAGGAGGGATCAGCCAATGAAGTTGGAAGTCCCACCCAGTTGACTTCATTAAAATGGTGGAAGCCCTCAATTGCGTTGCCTATGCTAATACGGCCTTTTGGCCACTAGAGGCCTCTATCTTTCTCTATGGTCCCTTCCTGTTTTGTTCCATTTGCTCTGTACACCCCTGTGCAAAGTCATTTAAAGCTACTATATCCAACAGAGGTAGAATAGTTAACTAGTCTTATAACCTATATGGCATGTAGACTAACTATACTTTGGTCTAACTAATACAGATAGGTTTTACCAAAATTCTAAGTCTTGATTCTTGTGGTTGTGGTTGTATGGCAATATTACTGTCTTCCAGTATATCCTAATTCCTAACTGTGGTCTTTCTCCAGCTGGGTCATCTTCAGGGCTCACCTGCAGAGCTGGTTACGGACTATGAGAAGAATGAAGACTTCCTGCATAAAGTACACAGGGTTCTGCTGAAGGTTATGTTCACCATAAATAACCTGATAGTAATGAATTGTTCTTCATTACTTGAGTCATAGTTCTATCAACTCCTATTTTGGTGAGTAGAAGGATGCATAATGCTTTTAGTACTATGGGAATATGAGGACATCTAGTGGTCAGGTTAGGTAGAGTCCCAGTCACGTTTCCCTCTGGCTGTTTCATTCTGCTTGATAAAATGTGATTGTAGGTTTCCACTCTTCTCCTATGTAAACACACTGCATTGTGTAACCTACAACCCTATTGTCACTAGGGCTGTAACTATACCAGTATCGCAATATCTTTTCCATGGCAAAAATGAAAACAGGAAGCAGACCAAACTCTCATCCTTTAAAAACCTGCTGTATGTAAAATATTGTCTGCTATAGCTTGGAAAATAAATAAATGTGACTCTAGATGACAACATGATGATGTTTGTTTCCAACATTAGGGCTGTTTTCCTAAAGAAGTTTAAATCCGCTTTGTGTTTTGTTTCCTTGCCACGATACTAACGAGTATCGTGCTGGCCCTAATTGACACAGACACACAGAGAGTAACCACAGGTGATGTGACGTGTATCGGTCTCTCTTCTGTCCAGGTGGAGGTGCAGGAGGGGTGTCTGGAGTGCCCAGAGTCTGGCCGTGAGTTCCCCATCTCCCAAGGGGCCCCCAACATGCTGCTGGATGAGGACGAGGCATGGAGGAGGGGGGTTGGGGGTTCGTTACCCCCAACATGGGCTCTTAGATGTACAGAGAGAAATACACCACTTATCCATACAGTAACCCCCCATTCGCCCTTCTCCACCATCTCACACCAACCGTTCATTGTGTTGACTGCTTGCTGTTTAAGACTGTATAGGAAGAAATACACTGTTGAATTGGTTATATAGTACAGTACATGGGGCAATGGGATGTGAACACACTGCTGCCCCCAGAAAACCACAGAACGGGTCTGAATGCTTCTACGTTGTCCAATATCTGGGAGCTAATTTTGTTTTATTTATTTTTTGCAATAAAAGTAACATTCCTTGGTTTCCTTGCTACCCTAAAATACTTTCCCTTGTAATTAAGTTACACAGATAAATAAATACCGTTACAGACCTCAACTACAGGCAAGTTAAAAATGCATACCGGTAGTATATCCACTCATGAATTAAAGGTAATGTCAAACTGTGATAAATCACCAAACCATATCCTTGAGTTTGTTGTCGCAGGTCAGGAGAACTGCTGAGAGCTAGATGACGTGGCGATCCGTGACTATATTTGGACTGAGGAAAAGAGGAAGCCTGTTTTCTACCCACACATTGCAATACCACAACTAACCACTAGGCCCCTTTGATCCATTCACCCCCAGGTCAGACAGTCATAAGCACTGGCTGTTGCCAAACAACCCTAGATCCACGTAGGCAAAATTTGCTCTGAGCCGCCTTGGGGGGCACACCGTCTGAGGCTTTGGGGCACAGCATTAACGGTCATGTTGAAACAAAGTGTTCCCAAACTTCCCATGCAGTGTTATCATTTTTAGAAACCTTGCCAGGAGAGAAAAAAGCCTGCCCGCCACAAGCTTTTGGGCTGACTGCGTCTCTCTCTCATTCTCCCTTTCTCTCCCTCTCCATCTCTCTTTCTCTCTCTGTCTCTTTATCTCTTTCTCTTCTCCTATCTCTCTCTCTCTCTCTCTCGCTCGTACCTATCCCTTCTACTTACTGCAATTACAGCTTTGGAGCCGAAACTATAATAAGAGTATAATGGGATGGGGAGAGAGCTGCAACAAAAGCCTCCTCTGACAGATGAACAGTTCCCGGCTTCTGAACTGTAATTAACAATGAGACTGGCAAGAAGAGGGAGAGAGGAAGACAGAGACAGGGTGGGACTGGATAACTGGGATACTCCTTTATGAAAATGAAAATATTTCAATAAATACTAGATCTGGGACAAATGGCCTAGATGTACAGTTGAAGTCGGAAGTTTACATACACTTAGGTTGGAGTCATTAAACCTCGTTTTTCAACCACTCCACAAATTTCTTGTTAACAAACTATAGTTTTGGCAAGTCGGTTAGGACATGTACTTTGTGCATGACACAAGTCATTTTTCCAGCAATTGTTTACAGACAGATTATTTCACTTAGAATTCACTGTATCACAATTCCAGTGGGCCAGAAGTTGACATACACTGAGTTAACTGTGCCTTTAAACAGCTTGGAAAATTCCAGAAAATGATGTCATGGCTTTAGAAGCTTCTGATAGCTAATTGACATCATTTGAGTCAATTGGAGGTGTACCTGTGGATGTATTTCAAGGCCTACCTTCAAACTCAGTGCCTCTTTGCTTGACATCATGGGAAAATCAAAAGAAATCAGCCAAGACCTCAGAAAAAAAATTGTAGACCTCCACAAGTCTGGTTCATCCTTGGGAGCAATTTCCAAACACCTGAAGGTACCACGTTTATCTGTACAAACAATAGTACGCAAGTATAAACACCATGGGATCACGCAGCCGTCATACCGCTCAGGAAGGAGACGCGTTCTGTCTCCTAGAGATGAACGTACTTTGGTGCGAAAAGTGTAAATCAATCCCAGAACAACAGCAAAGGACCTTGTGAAGATGCTGGAGGAAACAGGTACAAAAGTATCTATATCCACAGTAAAACGAGTCCTATATCGACATAACCTGAAAGGCTGCTCAGCAAGGAAGAAGCCACTGCTCCAAAACCGCCATAAAAAAGCCAGAGTACGGTTTGCAACTGCACATGGGGACAAAGATTGTACTTTTTGGAGAAATGTCCTCTGGCCTGATGAAACAAAAATAGAACTGTTTGGCCATAAAGACCATCGTTATGTTTGGAGGAAAAAGGGGGCTGCTTGCAAGCCGATGAACACCATCCCAACCGTGAAGCACGGGGGTGGCAGCATCATGCTGTGGGGGTGCTTTGCTGCAGGAGGGACTGGTGCACTTCACAAAATAGATGGCATCATGAGGAAGGAAAATGATGTGGATATATTGAAGCAACATCTCAAGAAATCAGTCAGGAAGTTAAAGCTTAGTCGCAAATGGGTCTTCCAAATGGACAATGATCCCAAGCAAACTTCCAAAGTTGTGGCAAAATGGCTTAAGGACAACAAAGTCAAGGTATTGGAGTGGCCATCACAAAGCCCTGACCTCAATCCTATAGAAAATGTGTGGGTAGAACTGAAAAAGTGTGTGCGAGCAAGGAGGCCTACAAACCTGACTCAGTTACACCAGCTCTGTCAGGAGGAATGGGCCAAAATTCACCCAACTTATTGTGCGAAGCTTGTGGAAGGCTCCCTGAAACGTTTGACCCAAGTTAAACAATTTAAAGGCAATGCTACCAAATACTAATTGAGTGTATTGTAATGTGATGAAAGAAATAAAAGCTGAAATAAAGAATTCTCTTTACAATTATTCTGACATTTCACATTCTTAACATAAAGTGGTGATCCTAACTGACCTAAGACAGGGAATTTTTACAAGGATGAAATGTCAGGAATTGTGAAAAACTGAGTTTAAATGTATTTGGCTAAGGTGTATGTAAACTTCCGACTTCAACTGTATGTAGGACACACAGTTAGGAGACAGTTATGGAAATAACTAGATGGAAGACGAATGAGACCATGTCAGTCAAATATGACAAGCCAAGGAATTAGCAAACTCCATCTATCACTTTTTTGCTTTTAAATAGGGACTGGGTATGAAACGGTGGTTTGATATGTTTGAACAGGATACTTACCCGAGGATAGAAGGGAGGCCTGTGCAAACATTTTTGTGGTGGGGAGAATCTCCAAAAATATGGCTGCCAGTGTGTGTCTGTGTGTGTGTACGTTGGTACTCAATTGATAGAGGGAGATGTCTAATGACACACACCCATCACTTTGGTGGCACCCCCACCCGCTAGCTCTCACATGCAACCTCTCTCTCTCACCCCCTCCCTCTCTCACTCTGTTCCTCTCTCACACACACACACACACACCTTGCATTGCACACTGAAGGTTCTGTCCCACAGCTCTGGATTATTTTTCTCTTGCCAAGGAATGAAAGAAAGGCATCAGACCTTTTTGCTTTAGTGGAACGTGATATCCATATCAGAAGAATCAAGAGGAGGATACATTTTCTAAGGATGGGATTGTACCAAAGATTACCTTAAACTCTATAATATATTTCAACTTTTCTGGAGGAGTTGTCTTTATCGGTAGTACAAATACCTCTTACATAGAGGATTTTATCATATTCTAACTTTTATGTGGTGTGAGAATTTGAGTAGCCAACCATGCATGTTGGTTTACATCTCAACATTTTCTCAAAATTGTATCAGGAATCTCTCTATTGCATTCAGTTCTAAGGCTTTTGAAGGAACACGTATGGACAGTGATTTTTATTCTATTTGCTCAGAAATGTCTCTCAGAGAAAATGATCAAATAAACACTTGAAATAATGTTATCCAACTTTATGCTTAGACGCCATGGGCTGAGCTTCTCTATTCTAGCTGTATTTGTTTTATACTATTATTTGGCTATTATTTAGACTTAGTTTTTTGTTTTTTTAAACGTTGGACATTTTCTGTAAAATTGTATTTCTGGGGGTTGATAGACAGTCGCCAGGATAACAGGTAACAGGTCCTCAGTGCGCATTGAACTGCACCGGACACGACACAGACTGAAATATTCCATATTGAGCGGAGTGAGCCCCTTCATCCATCTGACCACCGGACTATGTGGCTCACCCACCTCGCCCTGCTACTGCTGCTCCGGCTGGCCGTGTCCGCCGAGGGCCTCTCCACCTGCCAGTCATTCAGCCTGGATGATCAGAAATCCAAGCGCATTGAGGCCGTCCGCGGCCAGATCCTCAGCAAGCTCCGCTACCGGAGCACACCGGAGCCCCCCGCACCGAGCCCACAGCCCGAGGCCGTGCCCGGAGGTGATGCTGCTCTACAACAGCACTACAGAGCTGCTGAAGGAGCGTGCGCGTCAGTCCGATTCCGCGTGCGAACGGGAGAGCAGCGAGGAGGATTATTACGCAAAAGAGGTTCAGCGCATAGACATGCTTAAGCAGCGCATGGACACACGTGAGTGGTGCCTTAATCAATATCAACTTAATAGAAGACACAAATCAGTCATCATGATTCTTTTTTGTATGTCAGAGATTTACGAAAATAAATGTTTATACATTACTGTTATGCATGCGTTATGGTCTCCAGCCACCTTGCCAAGTTGTTTACCATTTGTCAGATACCTCTATTACTATCGTGACTGTGTGTGTGTCACACATTATTTAGGATATGTTGCATCTTTATTAATACACCTCTCCACTCTTGTAGATGCAGTGAGCCCTCCAATCCCCAGCCCATATTACAGAGTGGTGGGGTTCGATGTGAGTGTTGTGGACAGGAACTCCAGCACCCTGGTCAAAGCTGAGTTCAGAATCTACAGAGCACCAAACCCCCAGGCCCGCACCTCAGAGCAGAGAGTAGAGATCTATCAGGTACAGGATCTGTGGTGTGTATTCATGGAAGCCAAGGGAAGCCTGGCTTCCCCAAAATATTTACCCAAAAAAAAGCATTTACAAATGTATCTTTAGTCTCTCTGTGTTTCATAAATGTTCTTCAATTCGCAAGAGGCTGAATGTATCTCACCAGAGAAATCATCTGATGCTGTCTGGTCCAAAAGATTATTACATTGTTGCCGCCCGTAGCGTTGAATGCAAGGGAAGCCAGCTAGGATTTGGCCTCCCTTGATAAAAAATATATAAAATAATAGCCAATCAGCATTGAGTTAAACTGAGTGAGCTCAGCTGTGAATGGTCATGGAGCACAAAAAAAAGTGTCAAGGGAAGCCAGTTTGGATTTGGCTTCAGACCAATCTATTCATAAGCCAAACATCATTATTGACAGAAAAAAACTTCAATTGTTGCATCTCTTTGTGTTGTCCATCCCTTTCCTACATTTCCCATCTATGGAGATATGGATTTGGACTTGTGGTTTATACTTAAATCTCCGTACTGGCCTACTACACCGGCTCTGACGCTCGTCGGATGTGGCAGGGCTTGCAAACTATTACGGATTACATAATAATAATAATAATTACAAAGGGAAACCCAGCCATGAGCTGCCCAGTGACACAAGCCCACCAGATGAGCTAAATGCCTTCTATGCTCGCTTTGAGACAAGCAACACTGAACCATGCATGAGAGCACCAGCCGTTCCGGACGACTGTGTGATCACACTCTCTGTATCCGATGTGAGTAAGACCTTTAAATAGGTCAACATTCACAAGGCCGCAGGGCCAGATGGATTACCAGGACACGTACTCAGAGCATGCGCTGACCAACTGGCATGTGTCTTCACTGACATTTACAACCTCTCCCTGAACGAGTCTGTAATACCTACATGTTTCAAGTAGACCACCATAGTCCCTGTGCCCAAGAACACCAAGGTAACCTGCCTAAATGACTACCGCCCCGTAGCACTCATGTCTGTAGCCATGAAGTGCTTTGAAAGGCTGGTCACGGCTCACATCAACAACATCATCCCAGAAACCCTAGACCCACTACAATTCGCATACCACCCTAACAGATCCACAGATGACACGATCTCCATTGCACTCCACACTGCCCTTTCCCACCTGGACAAAAGGAACACCTACGTGAGAATGCTGTTTGTTGACTACAGCTCAGCATTCAACACCATAGTGCCCTCAAATCTCATCACTAAGCTAAGGACAATGGGACTAAACACTTCCATCTGCAACTTGATCCTTGACTTCCTGACGGGCTGCCCTCAGGTGGTAAGGGTAGGCAACAACACATCTGCCACGCTGATCCTCAACACGGGGGCCCCTCAGGGGTGCGTGCTTAGTCCCCTCCTGTACTCCCTGTTCACCCACGACTACGTGGCCACCCAAGCCATAGACTGTTCTCTCTGCTGCTGCACGGCGAGCGGTACCGGAGCGCCAAGTCTAGGTCCAAAAGGCTCCTTAACAGCTTCTACCCTCAAGCCATAAGACTGCTAAACAGTTAATCAAATGGCTACCCGGACTATTTGCATTGACCCCCTTTTTTACGCAACTGCTACTCGCTGTTTATTATCCATGCATAGTCACTTTACCCCTACCTACATGTACATATTACCTCAATTACCTCGACTAACCTGTACTCCCGCACATTGACTTGTTACCGGTACCCCCTGTATATAGCCTCGTTATTGTTATTTTATTATATTACTTTTTTCTTACTTGTCACTGTATTAGACTAAGCATAGGTGATTTAGATTATGTTGAAATCTTGAAGTTGAAATGGTGCTGCAATAGTGAAGGCAGCTCCTGTTTTCTTTGCGACTTGAGGTAACTCTCCATGGTTCTAAATCAATAGTTGTTTAGTAGTCCGAAAATGTCGAAAACATTACCTTGCTTGACCATGCTGTAGGTCATGTAACTGTTACAAAAAATATGTTTTGTGGATTTCACTGGGCAGAGGTTGCTATCTGGTTTTGTGATGAAACAAAGGTGTGGTTGAATTTATTCTGCCACTGTCTTCTTATTGTCTCGGCCTTAGGCCTATATATCACGGTCGCAAGGCATACAGTGCATTTGGAAAGTATTCAGACCCTTTGACTTTTTCCACATTTTGTTTTGTGACAGCCTTATTCTAAAATGGATTAAATAGTTTTTTTCCCCTCATCAATCTACACACAATACCCCATAATGACAAAGCGAAAACAGGTTTTTTGAATTTTTTGCAAATGTATTACATTTAAAAAAACATATAATACCTTATTTACATAAATATTCAGACCCTTTGCTATGAGACTCGAGATGTTTCTACAACTTGATTGGAGTCCACCTGTGGTAAATTCAATTGATTGGACATGATTTGGAAAGGCACACACCTGTCTATATAAGGTCCCACAGTTGGCAGTGCATGTCAGAGCAAAAACCAAGCCATGAGGTTGAAGGAATTGTCCGTAGAGCTCCGAGACAGGATTGTGTCGAGGCACAGATCTGGGGAAGGGTACCAAAACATTTCTGCAGCATTGAAGGTCCCCAAGAACACAGTGCCCTCCATCATTCTTAAATGGAAGAAGTTTGGAACCACCAAGACTCTTCCTAGAGCTGGCTGCCCGGCCAAACTGAGCAATGTGGGGAGAAGGGCCTTGGTCAGGGAGGTGACCAAGAACCCGATGGTCACTCTGACCGAGCTCCAGAGTTCCTCTGTGGAGATGGGATAACCTTCCAGAAGGACAACCATCTCTGCAGCACTCCACCAATCAGGCCTTTATGGTAGAGTGGCCAGACGGAAGCCACTCCTCAGTAAAAGGCACGACAGCCCACTTAGTTTGCCAAAAGGCACCTATAGGACTCTCAGACCATGAGAAACAAGAATATATAGGTTGTAATATGTTTTATTTTCTGGATTGGCTACCCCGGTGATTTTACCCACTCACCGCTACTGTACAGTATATCATATTACACTATCGCTTACCTGTATTAGGTATCACAATATTACTTTCCTGTACAAAGGGTCACAACAATATCACATAGTTCATGAACCCATGTCAGAATCAATTCATTCGTTTTTACAATATCTCAGAACTTCACTGGTATCACAGTTTGCTGGAGTTGTGAACTGATGCTTCTCTCCGGTTCTCCCTCTATGTCTCTGTCAGGTGATAAAGCCAGAAGAGCCAACAGGCCCCTCGCAGAGATACATCGACTCCAGAACAGTTCGCCCACGGACCAAAGGGGCGTGGCTCTCTGTGGATGTCACAGACACTGTGAAGGACTGGCTGGCTCATAGAGGTAAGTTGACAAGCCAATCTCACGGCTCAATGTCCCTTTATCTACTTAACAGCATTCAAGGTGTCAAACTTAACTTCAAAGTTAACATTTGAAGTGTCAATTGGATGAATGTTTCAGATTTGACTCTACTCATGATTTGGAGGTTTATACTGTATCTGTTTTCTCCTCTCTCTTTGTCCACCTCTCACCATCTCTCTACCCCTACTCCGTCATCTCATCCTCCATATCACTCTTTCAGAGAGGAACCTGGGTTTGAAGCTGGGTGTTCACTGTCCGTTCTGCACCTTCGTTCCCTCCACCAACAGCATCGTGTTCAATAAGAGCGAGGAGCTGGAGGCGCGCTTCGCTGGTCTGCTTGTTGTAGAACCTGTTTATGTTATGTAACGTAGACACATAACACATGGCTCTTTTTTTTATTAATGATTGAGCTTCTCAACTCACACAGAGCATTCTGGCTGACAAATGTTCCCATTATGTGTCTCCATGAGATCAATACATTTTCCCACGCACTCCGAAAACACACCAACCCTTTCTCTCCCTCCTCCACCTCTCTCCCTCCTCCTCTCCCCCCACTTCCTCTCCCTTCCCTGTCCCTATTCCCTTTTCCTCCATGTCCTACTCCCCCTCTTCCTCCATGTCCTACTCCCCCTCTTCCTCCATGTCCTACTCCCCCTCTCCCTCTCCTCCTCTTCCTCCATGTCCTACTCCCCCTCTCCCTCTCCTCCTCCTCCATGTCCTACTCCCCCTCTCCCTCTCCTCCTCCTCCTTCCTCCATGTCCTAACTCCCCCTCTCCCTCTTTCCTCCATGTCCTACTCCCCCCTCCTCTCCTCCTCCTCTCCCTCTCTTCCTCCTCCTCCTCCTCCATGTCCTACTCCCCCTCTACCCTCCTCCTCTCCGCTCCTCTCCTCCCCTCCTCCTCCTCCATGTCCTACTCCCCCTCTACCTCTCCTCCTCCGCCTCCTCCATGTCCTACTCCCCCTCTACCTCTCCTCCTCCCCCATGTCCTACTCCCCCTCTACCTCTCCTCCTCCGCCTCCTCCATGTCCTACTCCCTCTACCTCTCCTCCTCCTCCTCCTCCTCCATGTCCTACTCCCCCTTTACCCTCCTCCTCCCCTCCTCCTGTCCATACTACTCCCTCTACCTCTCCTCCTCCTCCTCCTCCTCCATGTCCTACACCCCTCTACTACCTCTCCTCCTCCGCCCTCCTCCATTCCTACTCTCCTTACCCTCACCTCGACTCCCCCCCACCCCCTAGTCCACTCACTTTTCCTCATGTCCTACTCCCCTCCTCCCTCCCCAATCTCTCCCTCCACCTCCCCCCTTCCCTCTGTCCTCATACTCCCCGCGGTCCCTCCCCCCTCATCCATCTCTTCCTCCTCCTTCCCCAGGTCTGGATGATGAGCTGCTTCAGCAGCAGGTGCGGAGGCCGGGGTCAGGGCTGGCTAAGGGCCATGTGGAGTTTAGTACCAAGACCCCCCACCTCATCCTCACCCTGCTGCCCAGCGACAGGGTAGAAAACCCGGGCAAGAAGACCCGTAAGAAGAGGGCCACCGCAGACACCACCACCTGCTCCAGGTAGGGTATGCACCTCAGATCCAGACGCCAAAAATGTACAATGTTATCTACGACCATACAAGACACTTAGAGGTTTCTATTTATTTTGGTCTTTGATATCCAGAATTACTACACATTTGTTCATAGCAACATTATTGATTATTGTTGTATTGTTATGAATCTATCGGAGGCTTATAGTCCTGAAACTGATTAAGTAGGACATATCCTGTGCCTGTGTGGATTAGAATGAGAGAGTGGTTTCTCTCCATCTCTCCTACCCGTTTTAGGAACTCAGACGCGGACTGCTGTCTGCGGTCGCTCTACATCCACTTCCGCCGGGACCTGAACTGGAAGTGGATCCATGAGCCGAAGGGATACAAGGCCAATTTCTGCTCTGGCAGCTGCCCATACCTTTGGAGCGCTGACAACCACTACAACATGGTTAGTTAACCCCCAACCACTACAGTGGCATGAATGTTATATCACCTCAGTCACAGTCAGGTCTTGTGGCTTTATTGCCACACACTCACAGTATGGTTAAAGGAAAACTCTGCCCAAAAACTATATTTTGGTATTTGTTTCATTAGTCCATTGTTGATATAGTCCCAAAATGTTTTGCATGTCAGCAATCTAGTTTTCAAGATGTATAACTTTCAAAATACAGAAACACAGCTGGTATGATGCATTTTGCATCATGATGAAAAACGCAGCATCATACTGGCTGTATTTCTGTATTTTGAAAGTTATATACACTATATATACAAAAGTATGTGGACACCCCTTCAAATTAGTGGATTCGGCTATTTCAGCAACACCCATTGCTGACAGGTGTATAAAATCGAGCACACAGCCATGCAATCTCCATAGACAAACATTGGCAGTAGAATGGCCTTACTAAAGAGCTCAACGTGGCACCGTCATAGGATGCCACCTTTCCAACAAGTCAGTTCATCAAATTTCTGACCTGCTAGAGCTGCCCCGGTCAACTATAAGTGCTGTTATTGTGAAGTGGAAACATCTAGGAGCAACCGCGAAGTGGTAGGCCACACAAGCTCACAGAATGGGACCGACAAGTGCTGAAGCGCGTAAAAATCGTCTGTCCTCGGTTGCAACACTCGCTACCAAGTTCCAAACTGCCTCTGGAAGCAACATCAGCACAAGAACTGTTCATGAAATGGGAGCTTCATGAAATGAGTTTCCATGGCCGAGCAGCCGCACACAAGCCTAAGATCACCATGCGCAATGCCAAGCGTCGGCTGGAGTGGTGTAAAGCTCGCCGCCATTGGACTCTGGAGCAGTGGAAACGCGTTCTCTGGAGTGATTAATCACGCTTCACCATCTAGCAGTCCGACGGACAAATCTGGGTTTGGCGGATGCCAGGAGAATGCTACCTGCCCGAATGCATAGTGCCAAATGTAAAGTTTGGTGGAGGAGGAATAATGGTCTGGGGCTGTTTTTCATGGTTTGGGCTAGGCCCCTTAATTCCAGTGAAGGGAAATCTTAACGCTACAGCATACAATGACATTCTAGAAGATATAATGGAAAGGAAAGCACTGTGTCATTTTGTAATTTGGGTAAACTATCCCTTTAAGTAGTGTTTTCAGTACTTGTCATTGTTTTTGATGTGATATCATGTGGTACTTTCTCTTGACCACACACACACACAGATCCTGCCGCTATATAACAAGCTGAACCCTGAGGCGTCTGCCTCTCCGTGCTGCGTACCTCAGGACCTGGAGCCTCTGACCATCGTTTACTTCATGGGCCGAACGCCCAAGGTAGAGCAGCTCTCCAACATGGTGGTCAAGTCCTGCAAGTGCCACTGACGCAGGAGCTGAGCGGCGGGCCAGGAGGATGGAGGACGAGGAGGAGGACGAGGTGGAGGACGAGGGACTTTGATCAAAACAACTTTTGGTCCTCAAGCAAAAAGAACAGACTGACTATCTCTGTATATTCAACCCTTCATTTCACTAAGACACATTTTACGCTGTCTGGCAGTCTGGCTGTCTGGCACAGGATGAAACTCTGAAAGTCGTCATCAGCAGTGGGTCTCTTCCCCACTTTCATAAGGTTGAGAATACTGTAAATATCGAATTTATTGAAATAGCTTTAAAAATCTGATATTATTAAAGTGTTTTGATTGGAAATACAATGTGTTCTTGTTGCATAAGACTCTGATCTCTACCAAGTTGAAGGGCCCAGTAACCCCACGTAAGCCCTCTGATACTTAAGATCTGTGCATATTTACTGAAGGGAGATGATTCTGATTTTAACTACACTGCTCAAAAAAATAAAGGGAACACTTAAACAACACAATGTAGCTCCAAGTCAATCACACTTCTGTGAAATCAAACTGTCCACTTAGGAAGCAACACTGATTGACAATACATTTCACATGCTGTTGTGCAAATGGAATAGACAACAGGTGGAAATTATAGGCAATTAGCAAGACACCCCCAATAAAGGACTGGTTTTGCAGGTGGTGACCACAGACCACTTCTCAGTTCCTATGCTTCCTGGCTGATGTTTTGGTCACTTTTGAATGCTGGCGGTGCTTTCACTCTAGTGGTAGCATGAGACGGAGTCTACAACCCACACAAGTGGCTCAGGTAGTGCAGCTCATCCAGGATGGCACATCAATGCGAGCTGTAGCAAGAAGGTTTGCTGTGTCTGTCAGCGTAGTGTCCAGAGCATGGAGGAGCTACCAGGAGACAGGCCAGTACATCAGGAGACGTGGAGGAGGCCGTAGGAGGGCAACAACTCAGCAGCAGGACTGCTACCTCCGCCTTTGTGCAAGGAGGAGCAGGAGGAGCACTGCCAGAGCCCTGCAAAATGACCTCCAGCAGGCCACAAATGTGCATGTGTCTGCTCAAACGGTCAGAAACAGACTCCATGAGGGTGGTATGAGGGCCCGACGTCCACAGGTGGGGGTTGTGCTTACAGCCCAACACCGTGCAGGACGTTTGGCATTTGCCAGAGAACACCAAGATTGGCAAATTCGCCACTGGAGCCCTGTGCTCTTCACAGATGAAAGCAGGTTCACACTGAGCACATGTGACAGACGTGACAGTCTGGAGACGCCGTGGAGAACGTTCTGCTGCCTGCAACATCCTCCAGCATGACCGGTTTGGCGGTGGGTCAGTCATGGTGTGGGGTGGCATTTCTTTGGGGGGTCGCACAGTCCTCCATGTGCTCGCCAGAGGTAGCCTGACTGCCATTAGGTACCGAGATGAGATCCTCAGACCCCTTGTGAGACCATATGCTGGTGCAGTTGGCCCTGGGTTCCTCCTAATGCAAGACAATGCTAGACCCCATGTGGCTGGAGTGTGTCAGCAGTTCCTGCAAGAGGAAGGCATTGATGCTATGGACTGGCCCGCCCGTTCCCCAGACCTGAATCCAATTGAGCACATCTGGGACATCATGTCTCGCTCCATCCACCAACGCCACGTTGCACCACAGACTGTCCAGGAGTTGGCAGATGCTTTAGTCCAGGTCTGGGAGGAGATCCCTCAGGAGACCATCCGCCACCTCATCAGGAGCATGCCCAGGCGTTGTAGGGAGGTCATACAGGCACGTGGAGGCCACACACACTACTGAGCCTCATTTTGACTTGTTTTAAGGACATTACATCAAAGTTGGATCAGCTTGTAGTGTGGTTTTCCACTTTAATTTTGAGGGTGACTCCAAATCCAGACCTCCATGGGTTGATACATTTGATTTCCATTGATAATTTTTGTGTGATTTTGTTGTCAGCACATTCAACTATGTAAAGAAAAAAGTATTTAATAAGATTATTTCATTCATTCAGATCTAGGATGTGTTATTTTAGTGTTCCCTTAATTTTTTTGAGCAGTGTAGTTTTCCTTTGGTCTGAAAGAAAGAGAGAGAAGCGGAGGGAGAGAAGGAGATAAAGAGGTGAGAGAGGGGAGTAGAGGGAGAGAGCGAGGAAAGAGAAAAGAGAGAGGAGGCTGAGAGGGAAAGAGAACGAAAGGAGGATAGGGAGTGAGGTTGTGTGTCCAGGGGCCTCCAGCCAGCTCTGTGTGTCCCGGGGCCTCCAGCTAGCTCTGTGGTTGAGGGCTGAAATCTGCTGGCGTAAACAGGATGTGAAAGATTTCCAGACAGCGACCACTCACGGAATGCCAGATTTAAACCCGTTTGTGGTGGAAGGAGAGGAGAGAGGGAATAAAACAGAAAGAGAGGCTTTGAAAGGAGAGACGTGGGCCATAGGCCCAATTTGAAACACATCAGCTTTGGACAGGGGTAGCTATTTTGCAGCCTTAGCAAATTTGTAACAATCAGGTCTGGCATGATAGGACGTTTCACAGCTGTAACCACACTTTATCTGTCATGTACATTTACTTCTTACTTGATTGCTGTTGGATGTACAATATATTAGGTCATATTGTTAACATTGATCCAGTCACACATTGAGGTTTGGCCACGTTAACCACTTTTGATAAGATGCCTCAACTCAAAATACGTCCACCCTGAGGCTCAGCTTATTTTGGGCCTTCTGGTATTTCAGGTAGGCGTGTGTGTGTGTGTGAGAGAGAAAGACTGTAGAGTTCTCTATGTTTATCTTTATGCTCTGTGTACTCCTGTGGTTGACACTGAACCTAGAGAGAAACAGAGTGGGTCTGTACGGCCGCCAAGTTGGTCCGCTTTATGCACCAAACACAGAAAGGTGATGAAAATAAGATAATGCCTAGAGAGTTGGACATTGAGTCTGAAACAGTAACCAAACTGTGCCTCCATTAATCCTCTCCTCCTCCTCTTTCCCCAGTCCCTCAGCCTTTCTGGGGCCCTGTCTGGGAAAAGGACGTGTGGCCTCTCTGTAGGGGGAGGAGGGGGAAGAGGACGTGAAGGGGGGAGGCTGTGAGGACATGTGGCCTCTGTAGGGGGAGGAGGGGGAAGAGGACGTGAAGGGGGGAGGCTGTGAGGACATGTGGCCTCTGTAGGGGGAGGAGGGGGAATAGGACGTGAAGGGGGGAGGACATGAGGACATGTGGCCTCTGTAGGGGGAGGAGGGGGAAGAGGACGTGAACGGGGGAGGACGTGAGGACATGTGGCCTCTGTAGGGGAGGAGGGGGAAGAGGACGTGAACGGGGGAGGATTTGAGGACATGTGGCCTCTGTAGGGGAGGAGGGGGAAGAGGACGTGAACGGGGGAGGACGTGAGGACATGTGGCCTCTGTAGGGGAGGAGGGGGAAGAGGACGTGAACGGGGGAGGACGTGAGGACATGTGGCCTCTGTAGGGGGAGGAGGGGGAAGAGGACGTGAACGGGGGAGGACGTGAGGACATGTGGCCTCTGTAGGGGGAAGAGGACGTGAAGGGGGGAGGACGTGAGGACATGTGGCCTCTGTAGGGGGAGGAGGGGGAAGAGGACGTGAACGGGGGAGGACGTGAGGACATGTGGCCTCTGTAGGGGGAGGAGGACGTTAGGGGTGCTGCTGGCTGCAGGACGGAGGTGTGGTGAGGTCCCCCTCCCCCCCAGCATCTGTTAGTCCTTTCCACTTAACCACCCCTTACGATATTCAACCTGCATTTATCCCACAGTAACACTCCTCTGGGTGTCTGAGTGTGTCTGACTCAGTGGCTTTGAGAGGGTGTGTAGTGTGTGTGTGCATTTGTAGTTTGTTTGCAGTGTGTGTGTATGGTATGTGTGTGTGTGTGATGTACACATACGATCTGACCCCACGTCTCCCCAAGGCCTCTCCATGTATTATGTTATCTCAGGTAGGTTTAATAGGACTTTATTTCCTTTGTATTCAGAGAAACAGAATGCAGTCAAAACTAAAGTTATGGGTCATTCCACAAAATCAGTCCCTTTTGCATCCCTTTGATATTTTAAAAAGGCCCAATGCAGCTGTTTTTAACTCAATATCAAATCATTTCTGGGTAACAATTAAGTCACTTATTGTGATTGTTGTCAATCAAAACGGTCAAAAAGAAACAAAACAGCTTTTTAGCAAAGAGCGATTTCTCAAGCAAGAACTTTGCTAGGACTGTCTGGGAATGGTCTGGGTGGGGAGGGGGAAACTGAAAACTAGCTGTTATTGGCAGAGAGGTTTGGAACTCTCTTTGTTATTGGTCTATTAACTAATTTACTGCCTGGTGATGTCACCAGACAGGCCCAAACTCCATCCCACCAAAACAGGCTGAAATTTCACATTTATTTTCAAACAGCTCTTACACTAAAAGGGCATTATCATCCTTTATCATGCTAGTGTGGAAATATCTATAAAACCTTTTTGGGGAAGTTTTCATTCAATTGCCCCTCCCTGTTGCACACAACAAGCTTACATACCTCCTGTCAGCGAGGATTTATGGCTGATTTAAGATGAAATCATCAACCCTGTTACAGTCAACCCTGTTACTTTATTTGGCACTTTATAGGCCTTACTATAGTCATTTGTTTTATTTAACCTCTTGAAAAATTATGTGAAATAAAACTTTTTGCACCAAGTTACATTTCGTGGACCGGCCTTTATTCAACCAGAGCACGATATATCCCACATGCTGAAGGACACTGGGATATACAGAGATATGGATCTCTGAAACCAGATCCAAAATGGTTATTCAAAAAAGTCTATCCAATTTAGTCAGTCATTTAAAAACCATGGCTGAGGTATGGGCTGAGCTCCAGTATCAGACAGCACAGCAGGCTCTACACCTATGCAGAGGAGTTGAGGTACTACACTTACCAGCCAGGAGATGGTGCTATTTCATAACCCAGTGAGTCTGACTTGACTGAGCTTAGACTGTTTTTATATTCTATATCTGTGCTGCTGAATACATGCATTGGTTTTCATACAAATATATCTCAATGGCGTCTGTGGTCCTCAGTCAGTGAGATCTAGTAAATTGTTGGCCTTTATCCCCAGTACATAATATAAGTCCATCTGAGCTTTGAGGTCTGCATCTCCTGTGAACACTGGTAATAAAGACCAGCCTTAGTATCCCCCTTGATGACCTGTGTCTGTCAGTTTGTTCATCAGTCTCTGAGATGGGAGAGAGGGGATTGGGTGGGGGGGTTAGAGGGGGACTGCATGTCACTGTGTCAGTCTCTGAGATGGGAGAGAGGGGGAGGTGTCGGGGGGTTGGAGGGGGGCTGCATGTCGCTGTCCCTCCTCTCCCTCAGGGGGCTCCGGTGGGGCAGCGGCCTCCTCATGCTCCTCCTGCGGGGCTTACGGGGGCGAGGGCTGACACCCCCCTCAACCGGCTGGTTCCGGTCACTCAGCGTGTCCGACGACTCGTCAATGTAGGCCAAGTTCTCCCCAAAGAAATCGAGCATTTTGCAGCCTGGCGGGGTGGGTATGGGGAGAGGCATGTGCGTAACAGAGAATATGGGCGACATGGGGATGGGCTTGGGGGACTTGGGGAGCTGCTGGAGAGGCACAGGGAACCGGACGTCCTCCTTGAAAAATACCTGCCTGGATTCTCCCTGGCTTCCCCTCTGCTCAGTACAGAGAGACCCACTGGGATCAAAACTGGCAAAAGTGATCCCCTGCCCTGGTGTACACACGTCAGAGGTGTGAGAGTCAGAGGAGGAGACTTCTGATCTGCAGTCAGACTCTGGAGACTCGGACGGCAACTCAGACTCAGACTCGAACACAGACCCAGTCTCCCCTTGCATCATCATCATAGAAACAGGATCAGGGTCATAGTCTAACTCCATCATGGAGCGTGCTGCAGGCATTGAGAGCGACCTCGCCACCGTCCGGCCCAACGACCTGCCCCCCGCCCCTGGTCCTAACCTCGCCCCCTCATTCCTAACCTCACCCCCCCCTAACCTCACGACCTCCAGACGGGTCATGGAGCGGGTGTGGGTGACCCACCTATTGGGCAGATGTCCGTTCTCCCCTATGACACCCTGCCTGCCGTGGTGCCCCAGCACCCCCCTGCGGACCCGCCGCCGGGTGCTGAGTTTCCAGCGGCGCCGCTGCTGCAGGAAGGGGTCGTTGAGGTCCAGAGGGTTGAGGATCCGGAAGTCCATGGACATGTTCTGGGTCCAGTCTGTAGCATGGGCCCTCAACTCCTCCATCTGAGAAAGAAAGGGAGAGGGAAAAAGGGTGAGAGAGGCAGAGAGAGGTGAGAGAGAGAGAGGTGAGAGAGAGAGAGAGGTGAGCGGGAGAGAGAGGTGAGCGGGAGAGAGAGGTGAGCGGGAGAGAGAGGTGAGCAGGAGAGAGAGGTGAGCGGGAGAGAGAGGTGAGCGGGAGAGAGAGGTGAGCGGGAGAGAGAGGTGAGCGGGAGAGAGAGGTGAGCGAGGGAGAGAGGTGAGCGAGAGAGAGAGGTGAGCGAGAGAGAGAGGTGAGAGGTGTGAGAGAGAGGTGAGAGAGAGGTGTGAGAGGTGAGAGAGTGAGGTGTGAGAGGTGAGAGCGAGAGAGGTGAGAGAGAAGAGCAACAGGCTCAACCCCCACTAATGCACCCCCCCAAGCCCCATCCTGCGACCTAAGAGGTATGTATCAGATGCTCAGCATGCTCTCATCACACCTACTGTAATGGTCCGGGCCTAAACCACACAAAAATACACTATGGAACACAAAGCTTTTACTATCTCATCCTGGAATATACAAGGCCTGAGGTCATCTGCCTTTGGCCTAAAGAGCAGGAACCCAGACTTCATCAAAGAAATTGGAAATACAGACATTGTCATCCTACAAGAAACATGTTATAGAGGAGACGGACCCACTGGTTGCCCTCTAGGTTACAGAGAGCTGGTAGTCCCACCCACCAAACTACCAGGGGTGAAACAGGGAAGAGACTCAGGGGGTATGCTAATTTGGTATAGAGCAGACCTAACCCACTCTATTCAATTAGTCAAAACAGGAACATTTTACATCTGGATAGAAATTAATAAGGAAATGATCTCAACAGAGACAAATGTCATCATGTATGCTACCTATATCCCCAAAATAGAATCCACAAACTTTAACGATGATAGCTTCTCCATCCTACAGGGGGAGATCAACCATTTCCAGGCCCAGGGACATGTACTAGTCTATGGTGACCTAAATGCCAGAACTGGATAAGAACCGAACACCCTCAGCACACAGCGGGACAAACACCTACAGTGGGGATAAAAAGTATTTAGTCAGCCACCAATTGTGCAAGTTCTCCCACTTAAAAAGATGAGAGAGGCCTGTAATTTTCATCATAGGTACACGTCAACTATGACAGACAAATTGAGAAAAAAAAATCCAGAAAATCACATTGTAGGATTTTTAATTAATTTATTTGCAAATTATGGTGGAAAATAAGTATTTGGTCTCCTACAAACAAGCAAGATTTCTGGCTCTCACAGACCTGTAACTTCTTCTTTAAGAGGCTCCTCTGTCCTCCACTCGTTACCTGTATTAATGGCACCTGTTTGAACTTGTTATCAGTATAAAAGACACCTGTGCACAACCTCAAACAGTCACACTCCAAACTCCACTATGGCCAAGACCAAAGAGCTGTCAAAGGACACCAGAAACAAAATTGTAGACCTGCACCAGGCTGGGAAGACTGAATCTGCAATAGGTAAGCAGCTTGGTTTGAAGAAATCAACTGTGGGAGCAATTATTAGGAAATGGAAGACATACAAGACCACTGATAATCTCCCTCGATCTGGGGCTCCACGCAAGATCTCACCCCGTGGGGTCAAAATGATCACAAGAACAGTTAGCAAAAATCCCAGAACCACACGGGGGGACCTAGTGAATGACCTGCAGAGAGCTGGGACCAAAGTAACAAAGCCTACCATCAGTAACACACTACGCCGCCAGGGACTCAAATCCTGCAGTGCCAGACGTGTCCCCCTGCTTAAGCCAGTACCCGTCTGAAGTTTGCTAGAGTGCATTTGGATGATCCAGAAGAGGATTGGGAGAATGTCATATGGTCAGAAGAAACCAAAATAGAACTTTTTGGTAAAAACTCAATTCGTCGTGTTTGGAGGACAAAGAATGCTGAGTTGCAACCAAAGAACACCATACCTACTGTGAAGCATGGGGGTGGAAACATCATGCTTTGGGGCTGTTTTTCTACAAAGGGACCAGGACGACTGATCTGTGTATAGGAAAGAATGAATGGGGCCATGTATCATGAGATTTTGAGTGAAAACCTCCTTCCATCAGCAAGGGCATTGAAGATGAAACGTGGCTGGGTCTTTCAGCATGACAATGATCCCAAACACACCGCCCGGGCAACGAAGGAGTGGCTTCGTAAGACGCATTTCAAGGTCCTGGAGTGGCCTAGCCAGTCTCCAGATCTCAACCCCATAGAAAATCTTTGGAGGGAGTTGAAAGTCTGTGTTGCCCAGCAACAGCCCCAAAACATCACTGCTCTAGAGGAGATCTACATGGAGGAATGGGCCAAAATACCAGCAACAGTGTGTGAAAACCTTGTGAAGACTTACAGAAAACGTTTGACCTGTGTCATTGCCAACAAAGGGTATATAACAAAGTATTGAGAAACTTTTGTTATTGACCAAATACTTATTTTCCACCATCATTTGCAAATAAATTCATTAAAAATCCTACAATGTGATTTTCTGGATTTTTTTTTCTAATTTTGTATGTCATAGTTGACGTGTATATATATGATGGAAATTACAGGCCTCTCTCATCTTTTTAAGTGGAAGAACTTGCACAATTGGTGGCTGACTAAATACTTTTTTTCCCCACTGTACCTGGAGATGACAGCATTCCCTCCCAAATATGCCTCCCTAGACACAACTATGACAAAACAACTAACAAAAATGGGTCACAACTCCTGCAGCTCTGTCGCACACTGGGTCTGTACATAGTCAATGGTAGGCTTCGAGGGGACTCTTATGGTAGGTACACCTACAGCTCATCCCTTGGCAGTAGTATAGTAGATTACATTATCACTGACCTCAACCCAGAGTCTCTCAGAGCGTTCACAGTCAGCCCACTAACACCCCTATCAGATCACAGCAAAATCATGGTCTACCTGAACAGAGCAATATTCAATCACAAGGCATCAAAGCCAAAGGAACTGCATAATATTAAGAAATGCAATAGATGGAAGGAAAGTAGTGTAGAAACCTACCAAAAAACGATTAGGCAACAACAAATTCAATCCCTTTTAGACAACTTCCTGGACAAAACATTTCACTGTAATATTGAAGGTGTAAACTTTGCAGTAGAAAACCTAAACAGTATATTTGACCTTTCAGCTTCCCTATAAAATCTAAAAATTTCAAGCAGACAATCTAAGAAAATTAACAACAACAACAAATGGTTTGATGAAGAATGCAAAAACCTAAAGAAAGAAATTGAGAAACCTATCCAACCAAAAACATAGAGACACAGCAAATCTGAGTCTACACCTTCACTATGGTGAATCACTAAAACAATACAGAAATACACTATGGAAAAAGAAGAAACTGTCAGAAATCAGCTCAATGTAATTGAAGAATCCATAGAATCTAACCACTTCTGGGAAAATTGGAACACACTAAACAAACAACAACACTAAGAGTTATCTATCCAAAACGGAGATGTATGGGTAAACCACTTCTCCAATCTTTTTTGCTCTATTTTTTATTTTATTTTATTTATTTAACCTTTATTTAACTAGGCTCTATAACAAAAGAACAAACAGTAAAAACATATAAATGATCAATTACAAATCTTAGAATCAGCTATTAAAGACTACCAGAACCCACTGGATTCTCCAATTACATTGAATGAACTACAGGACAAAATATAAACCCTCCAACCCAAAAAGGCCTGTGGTGTTCATGGTATCCTACATTAAATGATCAAATGTACAGACCACAAATTCCAATTGGCTATACTTAAAATCTTTAACATCATCCTCAGCTCTGGTATCTTACCCAATATTTGGAACCAAGGACTGATAACCCCAATCCACAAAAGTGGAGACAAATTTGACCTCAATAACAACTGTGGGATATGCGTCAACAGCAACCTTGGGAAAATCCTCTGCATTATCATTAACAGCAGACTTGTACATTTCCTCAGTGAAAACAATGTACTGAGCAAATGTCAAATTGGCTTTTTACCAAATTACCGTACGACAGACCACGTATTCACCCTGCACACCCTAATTGACAAACAAACCAAAACAAAGGCAAAGTCTTCTCATGCTTTGTTGATTTAAAAAAAGCTTTTGACTCAATTTGGCATGAGGGTCTGCTATACAAATTGATGGAAAGTGGTGTTGGGGCAAAAACATACGACATTATGAAATCCATGTACACAAACAGCAAGTGCGCAGTTAAAATTGGCAAAAAAACACACACATTTCTTTCCACAGGGCTGTGGGGTGAGACAGGGATGCAGCTTAAGCCCCACCCTCTTCAACATATATACCAACGAATTGGCAAGGGCACTAGAACAGTCTGCAGCACCTGGCCTCACCCTACTAGAATCTGAAGTAAAATGTCTACTGTTTGCTGATGATCTGGTGCTTCTGTCCCCAACCAAGGAGGGCCTACAGCAGCACCTAGATCTTCTGCACAGATTCTGTCAGACCTGGGCCCTGAAAGTAAATCTCAGTAAGACAAAAATAATGGTGTTCCAAAAAAGGTCCAGTTGCCAGGACCACAAATACAAATTGCATCTAGACACCGTTGCCCTAGAGCACACAAAAAACGATGCATACTCGGCCTAAACATCAGTTCCACAGGTAACTTCTACAAAGCTGTGAACGATCTGAGAGACAAGGCAAGAAGGGCCTTCTATGCCATCAAAAGGAACATAACATTTGACATACCAATGAGGATCTGGCTAAAAATACTTGAATCAGTTATAGAACCCATTGCCCTTCATGGTTGTGAGATCTGGGTTCCGCTCACCAACCAAGAAGTCACAAAATGGGACAAACACCAAATTAAGACTCTGCATGAAGAATTCTGCAAAAATATCCTCAGTGTACAATGAAAAACACCAAATAATGCATGCAGAGCAGAATTAGGCCGATTCCCGCTAATTATCAAAATCCAGAAGAGCCGTTAAATTCTACAACCACCTAAAACGAAGCGATTCCCAAACCTTCCATAACAAAGCCATCACCTACAGAGAGATGAACCTGGAGAAGAGTCCCCTAAGCAAGCGGGTCCTGGGGCTCTGTTCACAAACACAAACAGACCCCACAGAGCCCCAGGACAGCAACACAATTAGACCCAACCAAATCATGAGAAAATAAATATATAATTACTTGATACATTGGAAAGAATTAACAAAAAAAACTGTGAAAACTAGAATGCTATTTAGCCCTAAACAAAGAGTACACAGTGGCAGAATACCTGACCACTGTGACTGACCCAAAATTAAGGAAAGCTTTGACTATGTACAGACTCCGTGAGCATAGCCTTGCTATTGAGAAAGGTCACCGTAGGCAGACCTGGCTCTCAAGAGAAGACAGGCAATGTGCACACTGCCCACAAAATGAGGTGGAAACTGAGCTGCACTTCCTAACCTCCTGCCAAATGTATGACCATATTAGAGACACATATTTCCCTCAGATTACACAGACCCACAAAGAATTTGAAAACAAATCTAAATTTTGATAACCTCCCATATCTATTGCGTGAAATACCACAGTGTGCCATCACAGCAGCAAGATTTGTGACCTGTTACCACATGAAAAGGGCAACCAGTGAAGAACAAACACCATTGTAAATACAACCCATTTATGTTTATTTTTTTCCCCCTTTTGTACTTTAACTAGTTGCACATCGTTACAACACTGTATATAGACATAATATGACATTTTAAATGTCTTTATTCCTTTGGAACTTTTGTGAGTGTAATATTTACTGTTCACTTAATATTGTTTATTTCACTTTAGTTTATCCATTTCACTTGCTTTGGCAATGTAAACATATGTTTCCCATGCCAATAAAGCCCCTTGAATTGAATTGAATTTTGAGAGCGAGAGAGAGAGCGAGAGAGCGAGAGAGAGAGAGAGAGAGAGAGAGAGAGAGGTGAGAGAGGTGAGAGTGAAAGAAACCCAGAGACAGAGGGATAAAGGATAAGTAAATATTGACAGTTCAAATCCAAAGTGCCCCCAGTAAATCCTTGGTTTGTGTCCCACTCACTACCACTCACCTCAGCACGTGTTTTCTTGGATAGGACCCGCAGCCAGTTCCCAATCATGGTGAGTATAGAGGCAAAGTAAGCCAGGCCAAACACTATCCAGAGCCACACCAGGGGCTTAAACAGATCTCCGTCCCTCCGGTTAGCACCTAAGAACAAGGACATTGACGCATGCACGTGCACCCACGAACAAAGGGGTTTCGATAGGTCCCTATCCCTATGAAATATGATGTGTATCTTTCATAGTGTGTATCCTGAAAGCAGGGGTGCAACTTTCACTGGGGACAGGGGGACATGAAATTGCAGTTTTGTCCCCCCCAGTCTTATAATTGGAATGTGAGACAAAATGAGGCAAAGGTGTGCTTTAGGGCCATGCGGACGCCTCCGAGCGTCGGGTAGGCTGTTTGGAGTGTTTATCCCCAAAAAATATTGACCAAAAAATTAATTGAATAAAAAGTTATGTCCCCCCCCCGCTTATGAAACCAAAGTTGCGCCCCTGCCTGAAAGGAATGTGTAGAGTGTGTACTCTCCAGATTCTATACTATCCAAAGTGTGTACAGTGTCTTTCATGTACCCCGTGTTCACTTCACTTCATACCTGCTACATAGTCTCCGAAGCCGACCGTGGTGAGGGTGATGACCACGAAGTAGAGCGCCTCCAGAAATGACCAGTCCTCCACTTCCTTAAACACCAGCGTTGGCACGGCGAGGAAGATCAGACAGCCAATCAGGATGGACAGAACGGCAGACATGACCCGCACATAGGTGGGACTGACCCGCCGCTTCTGAGAGAGGGGCAGAGAGAAAGAGGGACACAAAAGAAGAAGGGAAAGAATGATGTATTAAAAGAGGGAGAGATGAGGGAGATGTATGGAGAGGGTAAGATCTTCCTCAAGAGGCTCAAATACTGTGCCTTTTCTTTGATAAACAGAAACTAAAAAAAATATTACTGCAAAGTTACATTGGGAAGTAGCTAATGACTAACTGAATGTTTAAGTCGGCTTCTGTTCTACTTGTGTGTAACGTGTTTCAAGTGCTAGAGACTCCAAGACGGCCTCTTCTGTTTACAGCACAGTGACATGACATCACTTAAGCAGGCCACTGAGACAGGCGAGTACAATGAGATGATATCCCGTAAATGAAGCAGCCCCAGCCCCTGAGACAAGACAGCGTAGTCTCACCAGGAAGAGTGTCTCCATCTTCCACACAGCCTTCCTCAGCCCCGTCCCCATGTGGTCCCCGACACCAGCCAGCAGGAAACCAAACATGGGGATCCCTACCAGGGCATAACAGACACAGAACAGCTGGCCCCATTTGGTCCTGGGAGACAGGTTCCCAAACCCTGAGGACAGATGGAGACCATATACATTCACCTATATGTTAATCTATATCACTTAAAAAATTAGTCATTTAACCAGCAACCCACTGGGGACAGACGTCAATTCAACATATATTCCACGTTGGTTCAACGTAATTTCATTTAAATTACGTGGAAACATCGTTGATTCAACCAGCTTGTGCCCAGTGGGAAGTCTCTTGAGGTTCATTGTATTTTCCGAGATGGGATTATTCATTTTCTATCAAATTCAAAATGCACATCAGTCTGACTAAGTTGTTACCAAAGGGTTTGCAGGAGGAAAAAAACAAACAAATGCTCACCGATGGTGGTGATGATGGTACCACAGAAGAAGAAGGCGCTGGCCAGGTCCCACCTGCTAGTGAAGTTGGTGGAACTGTGTTTTACGTCCAGGCCTGCCTCCACCGCTTTCACCACACTCTGACAGTAAAGAGACAGAACAGACTGGCTGGCTGGCTGGCTGGCTGGGTCTACACCTGCTCATTACCAGTCTTAGGTTGGGTCTACACCTGCTCATTACCAGTCTTAGGTTAGGTCTACATCTGGGGTCTGTGTTCTTCTTTTTAGGATTTTAGTTTTTGGTCAAAAAATACTAAAATCACCAGGAATTCTGCTAAAAATAAGTATATTTCCAATTCACACAAATAAAAAGAAACTTGAATCAGCGTGATTTTCAAAAGCCTTTTGGTGCTTAAATTGTGGTTAATTTACAAATTACCATCCTCTCCGACAAAACTTGTCCCGCAGCTGAATCTACCGCTGGCTACACTTTCTCAGGTAGGGCTCTACACCGGTCTTAGTCTGTTTAGATTCTTCTCAGATGTGTTTTAACTTGTCTGTCTGTTCAAGTGTATGCACTATGGTGAGTGTGTACCTTTATGAGGTCGCTGAGGTTCTGTGCCTTTATGAGGTCGCTGAGGTTCTGTACCTTTATGAGGTCGCTGAGGTTCTGTACCTTTATGAGGTCGCTGAGGTTCTGTACCTTTATGAGGTCGCTGAGGTTCTGTGCCTTTATGAGGTCGCTGAGGTTCTGTACCTTTATGAGGTCGCTGAGGTTCTGTACCTTTATGAGGTCGCTGAGGTTCTGTGCCTTTATGAGGTCGCTGAGGTTCTGTACCTTTATGAGGTCGCTGAGGTTCTGTACCTTTATGAGGTCGCTGAGGTTCTGTGCGGTGACACAGGAGTGGTTTCCAAGGAAGTCGCGTGTGGTGCAGAGCAGCTTCTCGTGCTCCTTGCTCTCCTTGGGGCTTTCCAAGGTCCGGAACACCAGCGCCCCCATCACCAGGTAAAGCATGACACCTGCCAGCAGGGCCAGCAGGGTGGGGCACCGCATTGCCCCGAGCTCACCCCCCCACCACAGGGGTCAGGGTTCGCCAGGATCTGCTCTACGGCCTCTTCCACGATACAGACGGTGGCACAGCTAGACACACAGGCACCATTCTTAGAAGTGTGTGTGTTTGGTTTCAAGGATAGTAAAACATCCTTGGATAGTAAAGGATAGTAAAACAAGGAAAATTCGGACAAGTGGGGACATTTTGCCGGTCCCCACAAGGAAAGAGGCTATTTTAGGGGTTAGGTTTAGGGTTACAATTAAGGTTAGGTCAAATAGGATTTTGAATGTGTGTTAGTGCTGAGCGATTAACCGAAATACCGGTTATTTTTCGTTTTTTAAACAACTAATTGACCAACAATCGGTTCAATTATTTGAATTCTATTTAATTCATTTTTTTTCTTCTGTCAGCTCGCTCGATGTGCAGTTTCTGAAGAGATAAATCAAATCAAGCCTAACCTGTGTGATGTACACCGGAAAAATATATAAACGCAACATGTAAAGTGTTGGTCACGTGTTTCTTCATGAGCTGAAATTAAAAGATCCCAGAAATGTTCTATATGCACAAAAAGCTTCTCTCTCAAATTTGGTTCACAAATTTGTTTACATCCCTGTCAGTGAGCATTTTTCATTTGCCAAGATAATCTATCCAACTGACAGGTGTGGCATATCAAGAAGCTGATTAAACAGCATGACCTTGTGTTGGGGGCAATAAAAGGCCACTCTAAAATGTGCAGTTTTGTTTGACAACACAATGCCACAGATGTCTCAAGTTTTGAGGGGGCGTGCAATTGGCATGCTGACTGCAGGAATGTCCACCAGAGCTGTTGACAGATAATTCAATGTTATTTTCTCTACCATAACCCGTCTCCAATGTCGTTTTAGAGAATTTGGCAGTATGTCCAACCCGCCTCACAACCGCAGACCACGTGGTAACTATGCCAGCCCAGGACCTCCACATCCTGCGGGATCGTCTGAGACCAGCCGCCTGGACAGCTGATGAAACTGTGGGTTTGCACAACCGAAGAATTTCTGCACAAACTATAAGGGAAGCTCATCTGCGTGCTCGTCGTCCTCACCAGGGTCTTGACCTGACTGCAGTTCGGCATCGTAACTGACTTCACTGGGCAAATGCTCACCTTCGATGGCCACTGGCATGCTGGAGAAGTGCGCTCTTCATGGATGAATCCCGGTTTCAACTGTACGGGGCAGACGGCGTCGTGTGGGCGAGTGGTTTGCTGATGTCAACGTTGTGAACAGAGTTTTAAAAAATCGAAAACTATAATACATTTAAAAAAATTAAACCGAACCAACCTCAAAAAGCACTAATTGCTCAGCACTAACGTGTGTGTATATATTCAATGATGATGATCTCTTCATGGAAATTGAGACCATCAACAACTTTGATAATCAAGGAAAAGAAAAAAAAAAAACACAGAACTGGGTCGTTCTCTGGTCATTTCCAGAACATGAAAGTAAGTGTGAGACAAGATATGAAGCATATCTCCTATAGGAATTGAAACATTTTTTGACAGCATCCCTTTTGATTTAAACACTTTCCATACATGTTTGCCCATGGAAGAAGTGGGCAGAAAGTGACATTTTGGACCGGAATGCCCGAACATTCAAGAGATAAAGGTGCTCAAAGTTGACTCATTTTGTATACCCTGCCACACCATAATATAATATAAATATAATATGCCATTTAGCAGACGCTTTTATCCAAAGCGACTTAGTCATGCGTGCATAATTTTTTTTTGCGTGTATGGGTGGTCCCGGGGATCGAACCCACTACCTTGGCGTTACAAGCGCCGTGCTCTACCAGCTGAGCTACAGAGGACCACAAGAGATATAAATACATTTAATTATTTAAATGTCATGGTATAATAATCAGACACATCTTCATCACTGGGAAAGATGATTGATGGTTGAGTTTATGACTTAAAAGCTTACAAACAGGATTGTCAAACTATTTGATAATTTCTTGGGGGGAAAAAGTGTAATAAAAAATGTAATGTCTTAACCTTTAACCTCTATGTAAAAACCTGATATTTTTCCATATTTGCATGTGTTGTAGCTTAGACCCTACTTTATTAGGTGTTTGTGTTATGCGCGCCACCTGTTGAGCAGCAGCCAGCCAGCGGTTGAGACATAACATGGTTGGTGTCATTTCAGTCATAGAAATTAGAATTAATAGAATGGACCTTTCCCTTCAGACCACTGCAATTTAGCTTGTACACCATTGAAATGTTTATTGAATTGAAATGTGTACTTGTAATTATTGTAGATTTCAAAAGATACTGCACTCAAAACCATGAAAAGGAACAACCCAGAGGCCGATTTGCAAAAATAATGTATTTAATTAATGCTCAAAACAATACAAAAAGCGAAAGTGCAGGGTGCTATAAGACAAAAACGGAGCATTTCGGCCTCGTCTTCATCAGTGCTGTACAAACAAATTAGGAAGACAAGTACTTAAGAGTCAATCTATGCTTGATCCGAAAAGGTGGTCGGAGGCGCCGTATGCATGGTGTGACGCAATTGCGAAGGCTCCAGAGGCACGCATAGGCCAAATTGAGCTCTGTACCGCATCGCCGAGCGCCTCTCAGGTTTTGTAACAATGGGGAGGACTCCGCATTGACATCATTGGTTGACGGTAGGTCCTGTATAAACACCAAACTCACTTCCTTGACAACAGCTCTGCTCCGCGAAGTGCAAGAAGTATGAATGCGCTGACTTCTGCAGAGGCCATATCACCGTAAATGCTGCACGGCCAATGCAGACAGCAGATTGATCATGCAGCGTCTTTAAGGAGACACCTGCTGTGCCTAACAGGCGCAAGCAGATAGTTGATTAGACACTGGCGAATAGGGAGACCATGCAAGGAATATGTAGAAAAATATTTTAAAGAAATGTACAATTCAAATGTCACATATGATTGAAAAAAGACAACGATCTAGGCTGCATAGCAATATCAGAAGCAATAGATATGGAATACCTATCTGTTGATATTCTCAATGAGGATGAAGCAACTGTGCTTAACAAGGGACTTTCCTTTTTCCCTAGACGGAGAACCAACCCCTTTCAAACCAAGGGAGCGCTTTGCGTTTTCGTTCCATAACGGCAGAACTAGTCTACCTCTAGGTGTGTAATGCTAATGACGATAGTCGTCCAGTATCCAAATCTAAGAGCACATTCTGCCCCCTTCTAAATAACTCAGCTATTGACACGCTTTGCAAGCTTGTGGCAAGAGATGTTGATAAATTGTTTGTTGCTAATGACAAGAAAATATGCTTCCAACTACGGCAAGACACAAAGAGACATGCTTCATTCCATCTAAAAAAAATCCCAACCTTATCTTCAAGAGCTGTGATAAGGGAGGTGGATTGGCATGCATGAATAGATCTGACTATGATGGAGAAATCCATAGACAATTGTCTGACACTGACTCCTACTGTAAACTCAAAGGTAACCCTACCTGTATACAAAACTGAAATGTACTTTTCTCAGCTGAGGCAGCCTACCTGACTTACAATGAGCGGGGCTACCTCCTCAACAAGCGGCCCACCATGGCCGTTAGGTACATTTTTACCAGAAACGCACAATGATTACCAGGAGTTTCCCCCCGGACGTCCGATTGGGGCAAGTAATGACTAACCGAGCCTTTGTCTTATTTCATTGATTTCCACATCAGACCTCTCTTTACTAAGATACCATCCTACCTAAGAGACACGGACGACTTCATCACTTATCTGAACTAAAGCTGAACAATGATGATAGGCCTACTTTTCTTGTAACTATGGACATAATTAGTTTGTACACCAACATTCCCCACAACATTGGACTGGAGGCTTTACGTTACTCTTAGACGCTAGAGCTGACTACTCCTACCACCCAGTTTAGTTGAAATGGTTGAGTTGGTACTAAGAACTATGTTTTGTTTGGAGAGGATTATCTGCAATCCCGAGGCATTTCGATGGGTGCTACCTTCGCCCCTGATTATGCCAACAATGTTATGGGCCTCAGGATAAATATCCGTTCTAATAATATTTTTTCTGATAACATTGTGTTCTACAAACGCTATATTTATGTTTTTATCTCATGAAAGGGCACCAACACGGAACTGGACTCGTTCCATTAGAATTCCAGTGGCTTAGTTGACTATTAACTTCAGTTTGGAACGTGACCCTGCAAAGATACATTTTCTAGACATGTGATTTGACAATTCGTTCTACCCTCTGTCAAACCGACTGACAAAAATAGCCTTCTTCACGTATCAACAGAAAGTTTGGACTCTGCTCTCGATAAAGGCTATGGACAGACGTGAACAAGGCAAACGCTAAAAATAAACTTTACCGCACACTCCTTACAGACCTGACGTTATTAGACTACACTGGCATGTATTGCAAACTGTGGGCTCAGATGCGTTTCATGATCTTTCCCTGTTCACTCACTCCAGGTCCCGCAGCCTGGGACATGCTGGTTCGCGCAGACACTTATGACGCAGCGAAATCTCCTTAGGAACTTCTGGGTAATATATTCCCCTGCGGCAATTGTGCGGCCTGTACAGGTATTAAAAAGTGCAACAGCTTCAGATCTTTCGTCACAAATAAAGAATACACCATCAATAGAGTCAATACCTGTGGTTCTAACAATGTAGTGTATCTATGGTCTTCCATCCAAAGAAATGAACTGAAATCACCAGTGGCTAGACATTTATGAGGCTAATCATGCTGTGACTGATCTTAAATTCTGTGCCATTGACCATTATTGCTTCTGATAGTTATGTAGCCTAGACGTATTTTTTCAATTGTGTCATTTGAATTGTCAATTTTTGATATTCTACATATTCCTTGCTAATATGTATGGACTCCCTGTTCACCAGTAGGCTATCGAATCAACTATCTGCTTGCACCTGTTATGCACAGCAGGTGTGTCTCCTTAAGTATGTATCTTCCTAATTTGTTTGTACTGCACTGATGAAAGAGGCCGAAACATATGCTCAGTTTGTTTTATGGCACCTTTCACTTTTTTTATTCTTTTGAGCGTGTATTAGATTCATTACATTAGTTTTGCATCTCTGCCTCCTTGGGTTATTCTTTTTCATGGTTTTGAGTGCGAGTACCCTTTGAATTCTAGATACTTTTTCTACTGCGCACCGGCTGCCTCCCATAGCCTGAGCGCAAACCCTCATACTGGCTTTCAACTTCTAATTATTACCACAACGATGGTCGCCGGTCCACCTGCCCTCGAATGTCAAATTAAATGGTCATGTCTATCTATATTTCAATAGGTTTCCTATGGAGGATTGACAGTATAATTTAAAACAGATATTCAAGTCAACATTCTGTGTGGACCTCCAACCATCTTTGTGGTACCATTTGAAAGTTAAAATATACATTTAATTCCCATTTTAGTACAATTAACAGCCAAAACATGACAGCCATCCTGTATTCAAGAGCATCGTTTCTCAAACGATGGTGGTCACAACACAAAAACGTCAGATGATGTAAAATAGGGTGTAAACAACAACATGCGAATATGAAAAAAATCGGAGTTTACGCGTTTTTAGATCATTGACGTTTGTTTAAAAAAAAGTTGCAGTACTTATTTTTTTTTAAAGCAATTATAAAATAGTTTGGCAACCCTGTTTGTAAGCTTTTTAAATGATAATTCTCAACTGTATATTTTCCAGTGATGAAGACCTGGCTGTCTCATGGTATGGTGGGGTATGCAAAAAAGTCAAATTTAAATCAAATCAAATGTTATTTGTCGCATGAGACTAATACAACCGGTGTAGACTTTACCGTGAAATACTTACTTACTAGCCCTTTCCCAACAATGCAGAGTTAAAAGTAAGAAATGTGCAAAAAAATAATAATATTAACACAAAATAAGGAGACTATATACACAGTCTGGTCTCATGGACTAAACATAGTAAATATAAATCAGAGACTCTCAAATTAGTATGATATGTTACTTTGGTATGGTTACATCAGACAAAAACGAAAAGTAGGGTGCTTGGCTGGTGGAATGGTGGGCGTATAATGCGTATGTCTAGCATCCCAAAAGTTGTGTGTTTGAATCTCCTCATGGACAACTGTAGCATTTTAGCTAGTTAGCTACTTTTCAACAACTTTTAAGCTACTTTGTAACTACTTAGGGTTAGCCAAAAGGGTTAGGTAACGTGCTAACTTTAACCTAACTCCTACCCTTAACCCTTAGCCTAGCTAACGTTAGCCACCTAGCTAACATTAGCAACAACAAATTGGAATTTGTAACATATCATACGTTTTGCAAATTCGTAATATATTGTTCATTTCACTAATTCGTAACATATCATGCGAAACGGATGATGGACATCCACAAATGAATACATACCATACGATACATAACATATCATACTAAATGGAGTGTATCAGATTTATGTACAGAATACTAGGAAATGCTCAGACCAGGAGTACCAGAGGAGTGCCATCTCTTGAATATTTCGTCATTCAGGTCCAAAAAGTAACTTTCGGAGCACTTCTACAGTAGGCAAATATGTATGGAAGGTTTCATTGAACTCAAAAGGTGTGCTGTCAAAAAATTATTGAATTGAAATGGATTTACCCATAGAGGAAAGTGTGACGTTACTACCGTTAAGACATCCCGCTCTAAACCACCTCACTTGTCCACGTTTTATTCATCCTGAAGATCTGGTGATGGAGAGATCTCGCTCCTCGATCTCTCTCCCAGGCCCAGGGCTGAAGACCGGGTGACTAATAGGAGGGTTCAGACCAACGTCCACGTTAGGGCCCCTGTCATAATAACACACAGAGACACACTGACACACACCAGACTACCCTGGATATCAACTTGTCAAAGTTTTTAAACGATTAACTTCTGCCAACCTGCTAGACATACGTCTCGCTGTTAATCAAAGTATGTTTAGGGTGCTTATCTTTATTTAGTGTAAACCAGTTTGTTTTCTATAAATTATATTCACCTCCCATCTACACAGTTACTGTGTCATGAGAGTGCCAGTTCAAAGACAGCCAATTGGGGAAGAGAACCAGAAGATGGCCATGGTGTTCCAAAGAACCGTGTCAATGTTCTGATATTTCCCAGAGTTCTCTGTTAGCATTCTGATCTAATGGACTGAGTTGGTTTGTATGGACGTTCTCTCCCTCTGCCTTGGCTGAAAAGGTATTATTTGTTATCGTTGTCTAAACCTATCCTGGCATATTTTGATATTTTTGTAAGATATGACTGAGCTAACCCCAAAAAAGCAAACGTGTGTTTGATGTGTTGTGAAATATCCCAGCTCAAACAGTCTGACATGTTGTAATAAATCATAATGTTTCCAAAGTATTGCAATTAAAAACAAAAAGGAGTGCAGAACTGCCAAGGAGGGAAGAGGCTTTGGCACCAGTCTCCACCTAGCTCATAAGATGGCTGCAGATATGGCAGGCTTATTTGTCTAACAATTCATTTTTTAAGGTACGTTTGTCATTCAATAAAATGTCATGTTATGAGTAATTTATATTGAGAGATTAAAGATAAATCAAAGAATGTTTCCAACATTTTCCTCAGCATTTGATATTGCCAATGTTCTTTAGAAGGATAAAGTTAGATTTTGTTATCCAAATCACTGACAAAGCTAAGAAACAGCATTTGAGGAGAAAAACACAAAATCGACCATTCAGTCAAGCAAGTAAGTAAATAATTCAATGAAATGTCACAAAAACAGATACTAATGTCCCCAGATATACATGTAAAAAAATGGATGACCCCACCAGAACCAAAACCTACACTTGAGCACAGAAGCATATTTTATACATACAATTATGCTGGTTAGTTCTAGCTTGCAATCAACACAACACAAACAAGTACATCAATATCTTCTCAGACAACAAATACTGTATATTACTAATAGGTGAGCAAACAAACATCTGAACAAAGTATTGACAAAGCAACTAACTTTAAGTCCTACCTGAGTTCAGGAGAAACTGAAGTAGTCTGAAGTATCGGTATGCGCTTCTCGGTGTCCAGGCTCTTCTCACCATCAAACGCTCTGTGAGTAGGAGTGTATATGTCCACAGAGTAGGAGTGTGTGTGTCCACAGAGTAGGAGTGTGTGAGAGTGTGTGTGTGTGTCCAGTGGTGGGAAGGTGTTTCCCCATGCTCAGGACTCTACATCCCTGTAATGGAGGAGCGGGGGGATTCTAGGAGGTGTGCATGTGTGTCTTAGGGCCAGAAGTTTTGGGGAACTTTTTTTAAAGCACTGTAGTCTTCCTAACACCAGCCTCCCCTCAGCTCGCTGTGTAGTCACGTGGGTCACGAATCAGCCAGGCTAGCAGCGCTGTGCTTTTACCAGTATTTCCAGCATTGTCCATTAATGTTGCTGCAGGTAGGAATTTCTAGGAAATGTTCTGTAATTGACACAAGCTGTCTCCAATCAATAAATCAATCAATTTCTGGTTGTGCGCGTGTGTTTGGCGGAGGGGATTGCCTAATCCAGGAGAGGCGTAGCTCTACTAATATTAATAGCACGAAACCATCTTGAGCAAATAGAGGTGTAGAGTCACTGATCTACAAATAGTATTTCCTGCAAAATAATAGGTTTTGTGCGATTAAAATTCACAGAGCTATACCTCCCCTGGCTTAGCCAAAGATAGGAATAGGTGGGAGGTTGAGAGCCCTCCATTCCACTCTGTGGACAACGAATCCCATTGTTAGGGTGGAGACTCAAGCATCTCATCAT